GCCAGTGATCAGATAGACTGCTAGCACTCAAGAGGGTCAGATTCAAACTCAAATCATAGGCACGGGCAAGATACCAGAGGAAAACCAAGGAGTCGTACTAGAGAAGAAGAAAAAATAAGTCAAAATGTCTTCAGGAGAGGAGGAGGGGATGTGGAACAAAATGATGGAGTGAATTAAAAATAAATCCCATCCTCATGACATCGAAAGCACAATTCTTTAACAGCAAATCATATCGACTGATCTTAACACATGAGCTACAGTCTAGTAAATTTGCAAGGTTAAACCTAAAAGTTGCACATCAGGTGAGCTAAATTGCAACATTAAGATATTTGAATACCTCAATGAGCTCTTGTTCATATTTGCAGACAGGAAGCAACATGTCATTTCAGTTCCGGCCAGATTTGTTGGGTTGCTTCATATTGATTATAAACGAGGACAAATTACTTTTCGTTGGGATATTTTTAAGATACAGCGGTATTTCAGTCTTCCTCTCCGTATCAATCTGAGGTTTAAGATCTTAAATGTGAGATATTTTAAGACTATTTTACAATGCCGTTTCTCAGAGTTATTCAAACAGTTCCCAAAACATTGTATTTCAATATGCCTTAAACACAGAGCTATGAAATTATTTATAAATAGCACAGAAATAGTTGCTACTTAGCCTATCTGTCCTTACAAACGACAACATATCGTGTGTCCAGCACCTTGGGACGTCCTCCCGACGTGAAAGGCGCTATACAAATGTAATCTTGTTGTTGTTGTCTAGGAGGCATCTAGTGGCCACTTTTTCATGTTGCTTCAATTCGTACTTTGTCCTGCAGACTTTTGATTACTTTTCCTCAACACTGGAAGTGTTGAGCAACTTCGTCTTGAGACTTAAACACCATCAAACTAATTTCTAGAAACACATCTTTCACTTTACATTAAGTATATCAGTACAAGCTACACTCACCCACCAATGTGCCTTTTCTCACCAGAACAACCCATTGTACCCTGTACCATGGACTTCCATCCCTTGCCGTACCTATCCAACTTCATTCCTTCTACCTGATTTGGAATGATTTCAAACATTTTCAAACATTTCAAACATTTCATTCAGTGTTTGTCACAGGAAATCACATGAACGCTCCGCAAAAGATTCTCCACACTCCGTATATTTTGTTTCTTTCATTGCTCGTCTTTGGTTTAGTATAAAGAGAAAGCCCAACATCTTCCCATAAAATGTCGAAATACCACAGAGGGTTTATAGTACAGTCGGTCTTGTTTCAGTCTTTCCAATGGAATGCCTAAGCCGACTGCATGTACAGTACCGCCATTCAGCATTGCATTTGGGTGGATCCAGGGAATACGTCAAAATCTCTTTCCTCTTCCTCCCCCTTCCTCAAATATTTGTCATAAACTCTGGTTACCACAGATTGCTTTTCCTTGTAAAATCAAAGGAGGTAATTCATCGTTTGGTTGCACGCTACTTACAATAAATATTTTTCCTTTAACTTCAGTTGAGCTGTAAAGGAACATATTTACCTGCCACTTGCAACTATTTTAACCTGCTTTCAGATACTATTTATACATCTTTGTTTTAAATGACTACAGTGGAAGCTGCAATAGTACTTTTTGGGGGGGGGCGGCTGATGAATGATATAGGCTTTGATATGTTCTCTGGTTCCATTTATTAAATATAATTCAAGACAACCATAAACAGGAATCAATGAAACGTTTTTTTGCTATTAACATTTGCAGTATTAAAAGATTGTTGAGATTTGGTACTCAAAAGCTTAATGCTACAATAGTGCAGATGAGAGTTGAGTCAGAGATATTTTTTAGGACTTCAGTTCACTTCACTTCCTTTCCTACAATTAGTCAGGGATCATCTAAATGAAACCAGTTCAACCAGCCTAACCTAGACACAGCAATGAGCAAATGGAAATTGCAATACATACCATGTATGATGTATGTTGGTTACTCCCATTTGCTCACTTATTACACTGTTCAATGTGTCCAACATTAGATTGAGTTTGCAGCCAGGCTCTGTAACAAAATGGTGTACAAAGCTGGTCCTGTACATGGTAAATCAGTTTATGGTTTTCTCTAACCTGTAGGAGATTGCACTGTAGGCAGTAGTGAAGTACCGTATGTTGTTTGCTTTCAAAATTAAATGGTATTCTCAAGTATAACCCTGATAGCACCCACAGGTCATTCAATCGGAATATTTAAAATGCATAATTTGTTATAATGGGATATAATGTAAAGTGAACTTTCCATTATAATATGTGACAATGCTTTAAAAATTTAACTAGTTGACTGTTGGGGACTTTGGTTTAGCTTTTGATAATAAGCAAAATGGTAATAAGTATTACAGTTCTAGTCAGTCCAGTCCACCCTACCGTTTAAGTCTTATTGATGTTCTAGACAGATTGATCGACCATCAGCAGAGCCTTGGATTAAGGAGAACCTACCTGACTTTCTTAGATGACACCAGGCAGACCTGCTTAACCCTTCCTCTGAAGATATCTTTTGACACAGTTATTATCAAACTCTCAAGGGGGAATGGCTTAATTGAATTATTCCCCTCCTCCCCCACCTCCCATTCAAATTCAGCCACCAATTGTTGACAATTAACTGACTGATTCTGGATGTTAGGACCACTGTATAATTTATCAACAATGCAATTACTGAACTCGCTGACAGCTTGTGTGTAAGTTAATCCAATGCTCTCACCATTTACATTTTTAAATTACAGATGGAACAACCTCTCGCCAACCCCCCCTCACCCCCCATCCGCCACCAAGTTTTTTTTACTATTGTATTTTGTTCTGTCAATTTTTTGCAGCCTATCAGTAAAAAAGACACATCCCCCTTTTTTTAAGGTTACATTTACAAACCCAGAATGATGTAGCTAAGGATATTGGATCACAAACCGAGCTGATGTTAAAGGTGCACTTTTAGCCAAGGACCATACCCACTATATGATAGAAAAAATATAGAATGGTAATTATAGAATGGTAATTATAGAATGGTAATAATGATGCAGTGCCTTGTGTAGATGGGAATCATTTGTGGTATCTGAATGCTGCTGCCAACTAGTTTAATGGGGCTGTGCCAATTTTATCTCTACCAACTTGGTGGTACAATGCATCGGTGTACGAATTAACTGCCTCATAGAATTGACACACTTGTTTCCATCAGAGATTATCCATGTGATAAGTTCTCAATATTGACCATACTGTTAGACTTGGGTAGAATGGAGATGGTGATGCTAGATAGAAGTGCTTCATGAGGGAGTGGGGGGAAGGAACAAAATCAGATGAAGTGATGTGCCTTCTGGAGCTTGGTTGATTTTCGTTGTGCAAGAAGCATCAGAAGAGGTCAGGGGCTTGTTACTTTTCCTTGCTCAGATCAGAGAACGGTGGGAATCATGGGAGAGCGAGAGAGAGGGGGAGCGCAAAAGATGGGGGATGGAAAAAAATGCCAAAAATAAACTTTTCAATGAATGTACTTGTCATCAAGCCAAGCTGCACAGTACAATGCTCCCTATTGACTTGTTAATTCAGACCCCGCTCTGCCAAAGACTAGTGACATTGTTGCAATGAGAAAACAAACCTTGAAGTTTATTTTTGGTGTTTAGTTTATTACAGTAGTTGCCAGTTGGCCAGGATATTGACTGAAAAATTTAATACAGACAAGCTGAGTTCATTCAACATGTTAATACATCTCCTTTTCAATACATATGATTCATGACAATTAGTCATCTTTATGTTTTTTTAAAAGGTTGGTTTGTTCCATACCTACTGCTGTTTGTGAGACGTGTTCATCCTAATGAAGTGAATGGAATAAACGGTGAAAAATGACTTGACTGTACACTGTGTTTCATCTTTGTAATAGCGACTTAACATTTTGTTCTGCGGTGATCAGATCGATTACAAAGAGGCATCAAGGGAATATGCAACAGTAAAAGGATTGTAATATTTTAATTATTCAAAGGTTGATTTAAGAAGATGTATCTTCAATGTAATTGAACTTTCCAAGCTTAAATATGGGCAAAGCTAGACAGATGTCAGTCTATTCAATACAATTTTCTGTTACATCATTCTGACATGTACTCAATATATTATTAGACAGTGGTAACCTTGTGTTTTACACAAAAACCTTCAGAAACTTTTGACCCATCATTTGCTGACTGACAGCGCCTGAACATTCCTGAAATGAAGATCCACAATTCTGCATCAATGAATGCTGTTCTTTGTTAAAGTGTGACATTGCGAAAGACACCACTTGTTCTGTGTCACATTCGATCAACCATGGATCAAAGTTTATTCCTAAAGAACATCCATTCCCATTATAACTAGATATACAGTAGGAGGCAGATTACAAAGAAAGAATGAAAAGCAAACAGGATCTGAAATTCTGCTTTCACGATTTGGCCGCAAACTTGAGCCTTGATCTTTGGCTTTGGATACAGTTGTAATTAATTAATGGCGAAGAACATTATTGTTGCTATCAGGTTTTGTTCATATTAATAACTACATAAAGATATTGTGTTGTAACAAGGTACTGAAAGAAACATTTAAAATGTTGAACTTTTTTAATTGCAGTATAAACCTTTTTTATAGACTGTAACAACTGGTAACAACTGTTGATTGAAACTGTTAATCTACTTTACACTTTTAAGAACTCCTTTAAACTTGTCAGAATTAGATTTTTTCAGTGTATTTGATTTTGCAGAAGACATGAAAAGCGCTATATCAAATGCAAGGATTATTATTATTTAGGTTAGTTATTATGTATTCAAGAGAATAGTTCTCAAATGAGTCCCAACATCCTGGACTCAACAACAACCCTTCCTGGTAACACATTAAAGTAATATGCTTACTGAAAATATGAAAATATTCTGGGTTTACTTTCTCAGAAACTGGGTTTGGTAACTAGCAACATAGCATCTGTGGGTTTCGCTATAAAAGGTAGAAAATCTGCTGTACTAATGTTATGTTTCTGTTCCGCAGAATCACAGAGCAGACCCCGAAGAACTCTTCACAAAACAAGAACGAATTGGAAAGGGGTCGTTTGGTGAAGTCTTCAAAGGAATCGATAATCGGTCGCAAAATGTAGTTGCCATCAAAATCATAGATCTTGAAGAGGCTGAAGATGAAATAGAAGATATCCAGCAGGAAATAACAGTGCTAAGCCAGTGCGATAGTCCATATGTCACCAAATATTATGGATCATATTTAAAGGTAAAGGAATTTTTTGATATACTTTCATTACAGTACACCTGCTGAACATTTGATATTTAGCCGCCTATGCTAAAATGGATCCATTTCAAAAGCCTCAAAGAATGAAATATGGTAGTAGAGTATGTTCACCACTTTATGGGCTATTGCTTAGGCTTGCAGTGGCAGTACAGTGGTTGAGTACAACTCGTATTTTCTTAGAGTAAACATTTTGGAGATGACTAACAATTAATGTGCTTGTTGTCTTCTATTCCATTGACCCTGAACAATAAACCTGTTTGTTTTTTTGACTTTACTGCCATCGCATTGCAAAATATAAAACGTCCAAAATGTCATATTTATAATAATAATAATAATCCTTGCATTTGATGCAGTGCTTTTCACGTCTTCTTGACGTCACAAAGCGATTTATATATATATAATACAGTGAAATCATCTGGAACCACCTCAGACAGAAGGGACTCTACAGTAGACTGAGACTTCTATAGAAATGTGGAGATTGCTTGCACTGTAACTGGGTGAATGAATTCCATAGGACTGGGAGATACAAGGTATCGCATGTAGCTTCCTGGAAAATACATGGTTAGATGTCACCTGTTTACTGTACATCACCAACGGTATTGTCATGTACATGTTCAATTCGTGCTTTACAAGTGACTTTCGGAGAATAATCTGCTGTCAAGTCGGTCTGCTGGAAGCAAGAAATCCCCCCTTCTTGAAGTGAACTTGATGACAGCAGTGATTACTTCTGAGAAACAGCAGACCAAGAAAAGATAATTTGTGGTTTAGTTCCTCCTGAAGAGGCCTGAAGAGATGAGCTCAAAGATTCCATTAGACGTGATTGAAGCTGGATTCTAGGTCTGTTGGTGGCCCCATCTCCTAAAGCCCAAAATGGAGGGATTAGACTGTAAACAAAGGCTGCTTACCTTTAGAGTTCTTTCAAAGTCCAGCCCGATTATTTTATCTGTATTTTCAGCCCTGCCACATTGCACAGATGTAATAATTACATACATGTTATAATTGCGGGTCATTTTAAATGCAAGTGGGTGGATATTGTTTTAAAAAAATTAGCTTTAACATCAAATCACATAGAGTTGTTACACCTACATCAATTTTCTTTTGGTAATGTTGCAGTTGTGTGCTGCTTTGGCAGGGTTAGAAGCTTGCTTAATGGGCTTGGGGGAATATTCAGGGCTGGATTCTAACCGTGGGAACCAATGCCTTTCACAGTCGACACTGTTTGTCACAGTTAGGAGGGAGAACTTTCGGGCAAGGAGTGAGGATTTCTCACTCGGAAAAAACGCCCTATTTTTGTCACTTGGTTCACTGCTGTTCATAATCTGCATAATCAGTAACAGTGGGGCAGGTAGCACTGCTATGAAGAGTGGAGTTTAGCCATGTGTTTAGGATAATTTGAGGGCTTTCGATATCCCATCTAGTTTATGCTGTATCTGATGCAATGATAATCTACTCAGGACTTTTTGCAGTCAGTTGGAATATCAGAATGGAGGTATTTCTTTGTAATGAATCTGCAATTTAGCGGTGCCTGAGATAGATATTTGTTCTTCAGGCCATTAGAATGGCACTGAGGAGAAGTCAATTCTTTGTATCAGCCTTTATTTACTTTAGGGAGAGTGAGAGAGAGAGATGGAGCATTCTTGGCACAGATCAAAATGTGGCACAGGATGAAGCTCCCACGATCTTGTACCTTTCCGGCTACAAATGTTTAATTAGCCTCCGGCTGTACTGCAATCAGAAGCTGTTACTCTCGATAAGCAGAAATGTCCAATCACTGAAGCGAACTTCATCGGATTTACTGGATTTTCGCTGACAAAGGGCCAAGGTGCAGCATTCTCTCTGCTCAGTGCTCAGTTATTACAGCCCAGAGGCATTAAGATAAAATTGACCCAACTGGTTCATCAACCAGTCCAAACTGGTGCCACACCTGACTCCTGGGATCTATGCACCTCCTTAAGCTGTCCGTTCTGTGTTAGGTTTTCTTATTGAAAAAGTACGCTCAGCCTGACTTTAAAAAGAAAATCCAGGATCAGTTGTGGGGACCATGCTGAGAGGCAGTCATTCAGTTCTCAAGGCTGACAGCAACTATTTCAGTTTGATGGGAGATTTGCTTTAATCTAGCAGAATTGCTCAAACATATGTCTCCCCACACCTACCCCTGAGCCTAGAGCTCTCATCTGTGGCAGTCTAGGTCATCAAGTTGACCAGCTAAGATTTAGCGAGTTCTGCCCATTGAGCCTGGTTCTGTTGGCAAATTATCTTGGGTTAGGATTTAATGTCGGGCACCCTGATGGAAATTCTTTCCTCGCATGCTACATACAGCTACTGAGCCAAGGTTAATTAATATCTGATGGACAGAGACTTCATAGGGAGTGTCACAGGTTTGATTATTTGCTGTATGATTAGGTACATTCAAGTCTGAAAAGTTTTGGTTTCTGTTTCTTGCTCCTGCCTTTTCATTTTGTTTGAAGAAATGGTGCAGAGGAAGTAGGTGAAATATCATCAGTTTGATGGTTGTGGGAATGTGACAGAATATTGTTTTGTCACAAGAAAAGCTTATTCCATCCTCATTTTAATGCTGCCTTGGGAGCCCAGATTTCTTATACATGATATAGTGAAGTAATCTGCAGGAAAAGTCTCCCTAAACAGCTAAGAATATCCTGTGGAAAAGTTACAAGCCACCGTTCTGTGGTTTTATAACAAGGTCAGTGCTTTAACTGACAGTCTTTGAACAAGGGAGTTCTGTACTACGATTTTTCAACTGCAAATAAAACAAAGTCTCATGCAGAATTTGGAAAATATTGTGGGTTAACACTCAAAGCTGTGAGAGTCCTTTTTGTGCCTTAAAGCTTTTTCCTTCTGTGTGTTTCAACACAGATGCTTAGTCATTCTGACCAAGGAAGGAAGACCAGGAAAGTACTGACAGAGAGTGGATCCAGAAACCGCCTTAGAGCTACAGAGGCTAGGGAGGGCCTTACTATGGGGCCCTCTTTAACCTTGGGTCTGCAAACAGATCAGTTGGCTTCTGAGCAGTTTCTGGCTGTTTTGAGTAAAATCATCAGTTGTGGGCACAGAGTCTTTCTTTTTTTCCTTGGGGACACTTACTTCTTGTGTTGGAAGATTGTGGTGTCCCTGATGCAGTCACTGAAGGCAGTATGTGTTCCACCCACCCACCCCTGTATTGCACCCACTAACAAACAAAGAAACAAATTGCATTTATACAGCGCTTTTCAAATCTGCAAGATGTCCCAAGGGGCTGGACAGTGAAGAGTTGTAGCCAGGCTGGTGGTTGGAGTCAAGAGAGATGGAGGGCATTCGGGGTGGAGATGGGAGTGTGACCGAAGGCATGGTCAAAGAGGAAAGTCTTGAGACGAGCCTTGAAAAAGGCAAGTGGAGGGAAGGGGCAAGGCAGAGGGAGATCGGACAAGCTAGTAAAGTAAACAAAGCATGGAGAATCCTGTCCTGTGCAAGGAGCCAATTTGATATTCACATTTTGGCCTGAAAATCAGGTTGGACATGAGATTATAACTGGAATTACTGTATATCCTTTAAAATGAAATTTTTACTAAACAATGTTTGGATATGGAAAACGAAAATGCATTATGTGCCAACACCCTCACCCTTCCTCTTGTCCTCATGTAACCGCTCTCCCTCAAACCGAAACATTACTGGTCTTTTACACAGGGGATTAGTTCCAGTTTTCTGCTCTGTGCTCAGGGCAGAATCTGTGGAATTCTACAATGTGCTGGTGCTTTTCATTGTGCCCAAAGGTTTAAACAGAAGTCGGCAGCACTGACAGCCCCAGAACCAGTGTTAGAAGAGTCTCGGAAGATAAACCAGGCATTATAGTGTAACTGCAACCACTCGAGCTGAATTGGTGTCTTATCAATACTGCAAGGCAATTGCTGGTCATTTGTACAGCGCCACTCAGTGGTCAAAACTGGATCGTCAAAACTATATTAAAACTATATTAAAACTATATCAAAACTGGATCGTCAAAACTATATTGTTGCTCAGCGTGTTGCCCATGGAGAGGGCAATAGGGAGGTGCAAGACTGTAGGAAAATTTGTAAGCTCGGCAGAAATTCTGCCAATAGTTTTAGCCATTTTCTGTGTTGGATTAAAAGGAATTTTTTTTACGAGTGTGCTGCCAGGAGATTGCGCTGTATTTTTGTTTACAAATCTAGCTCCTGTGTTTTTAATCATCTCTTGCACGTGTCTCACATTCCAAGTTTTCGAATTTTACCATCAAAATTATTCATCCGATCCTGAAAATAATAGATTCATTAGTAAAGTTCTGGGATAAGGATAGGGCCACGTTCAGGCAGTAAAACCACACAGATGTAAAAAGAACCAGATGTCACCAGGTGCCAAAGCTTTTCTTTCTCTTAGGTTTATTAAAGGTTCTGAAGGTGGGCAGCAGACAAGGATGGAGCATTATAATTAATAATAATCCTTGCATTTGATATAACGTCTTATTGTGACAAAATGTAGGTGTACGCAATAACCAGTTTGCATACAGCAATCTCACACACACACACACACAGCCAGGAAGTGAATGCCAATTGATTGCCAAGATACCAGGAGAAACTTCCCTTCTCTTTTCAAGTAGCGTTGGGAGATCTTTAAGGCCTACCTGAACAGGCAGGCTGACTTAAGTTTGTCTCATGCAAAAGAAAACACCCCAATAATACAGCCCGCCCCCCAATGCTGCTCTGGAGTGTTAGCCTAGACCATAAGATCAAATATCCCATTGCGGCTTTGAACTCACAAGCCTACCAACTGAGGCAAGCTGAAGCTAGATTGTGCGTTGAATGATTATTGTTGATTGATATAAACTAATGAAAACCTTGTATTTTTGTTAACAGGGCACAAAGTTATGGATTATAATGGAGTACTTAGGAGGAGGCTCTGCCTTAGATCTAGTAAGTACTACCTTTTTATAAAGCTAAGCCTACTTACTGTTGTCATGGAGATACCTATGTTTAAAGGGCAACATATCTGCCTTTTGTTTGCTTTCTGAGTGAGCAGTGATCTAGGAAATGAACCTAGAAAGTGTTTCATCATTCCGCCAGGGAAGATTTCCTCCATTTTGATTCCTGTAAAAGACATGTTTGTTTGTGGCTGGTATTTTCTTCCCAAGCTAAAACGGGAAATTTGTGCAGTGTTTGAAGGTTCAAAGATGAAGGTTCATTGACAGTGTCCTGAATAATGAGGAACGTCTTGACTTGATTCACAGCTTCAATTTATTGAATACACAGAATGCTTTTAATTGCTGAGGGCAAACATGTGTTTCTCTCACTCACCACTGGCATGTTAATAACCAGTGTGAGTGGAGGGGAGGAGAAGAATTCATGTCACAGTCAACTAAACCTCACTAGATTAAAACCAGGATGATGGGTGCTTGTGCATGGTTAAAAGAGCTTAATCTAACAAACATTCAGTTAGTATAGAATTATAAACCAAGGAGCACAACTCGAGCAATTGAGACCCATCGAATGAAGCCTGGCCACCACTCCCTGGTAGCTGTTATTATTTGCAACGCGTTCTATTTCAGTTCTGTGTGCCGGTTTATTTGGCATTTGCTTACTTTTTCCAACTGGTTAGAACTGCTTCAGAGACAGCAAACCTTTGCATGTCGCCCTTGCTGCATGAGAGGTAAACATTGTGATGATTTTACTGCAGATTTATTGAAAAATAATTTGCAGTTGTTTAGCACAAAATTCTATCTCCAGGATATGTTATCTAAGATTTCCTTTCTGCAATATTTATGTTTTACTGCATTATTAGAATGACATTAATAGGGGCTTCCTATCTTGTGTTATGTGTTATGAGTGTTCCTTGGACTGGTGGGTAAAAATGCTAGAACATACAAAGCAAAAGATCACAGGTTAGTGGATCACAGGTTTGATTCCTGTCCTGTCCTGAGTAGGTGAGTTTCAGTTTGGGACCTGGCAATTGATCTTCGAGCTTCTGCACTAGAGAGGAAGAAAAACTCAGCCACGATCTTGTTCCTCATCACTATCTAGTGACCCTATTGGAGGTGTTAAAGTCAGGTGAGAACAGAACCCAAACCAGGCTCAGTTGACTATGAAACCTTCATGGTCAAAGTTGCCCACTATCACTCACACTCGAGGCTTACACAGTCGGCTCGGTAGAGTCACCGGAGAGCTAGTGGCGTCTGTGGAACTGCACAGCAACAAGAGTCAACATCTCCAGGAGAGAAAGATAGAGACAATCCCTGCCTCTTGTTGTATTGTGGATTAACATTGCTGAGCCAGCAGAACTCAAATAGATACGAGTGACTGAGCTGCAGAAATGGGTTGCTGGAATGCAGTGTTATTATGAAAAGTCTGATTTAGACGTTGAATTTGAAAAGCATTTTGAAGGATTTGCTGATGTGACAAAGGGAGTCGTCGGCCTGTTTGAGGTGACCACGGCTGTGCCTGCTGCCTCTTGTGTCTTTGTCGGCCAACGCTGCATCCAGCTGACGGTCAGCGGAGCGATGGTATCACATGAGATACACATTCACATAATCTACATGGTGATGGCACCTGTAACATTCCGCAGTTTGCTACAGACTCTGTGAGGGTCTCACGCATGAATGGACATGAAGTCAGAATGGAGCCACCCGCCATTTTCAAAATTACGGTGGGGGTAAGCAAAGCACCACAATTACTGAAATAATAAGGATTAAAACAAGCAAATTGTGTTAAAACTGAATCTGGTGGGTGAGCCTCCCTCTTTAAGCACTGATAATAATAACAATCCTTACATTTGATATACAACCTTTCATGTCAGGAGGGTGTCTCAAAAGTTCTTCAAAGGATATATTGTAAAGTGTAGTCAGTGACTGCATATTTCCAAGGTGAATACGTCAGTCTATTTACACACAACAATCTTCCACAATTAGCCATGGATTTTTAACATTTTATTCATGATGACCTTATTGCTTCTTTACCTTTGACCCTCAGAGGCCACTTTAACTTCCTTTTCTGATGAAGTAATGTACACTTTGACTTGTGGTTTCCTTTTCTATTTTGTGGTTAGCTAGACGAGAATGCGAGGCAGGGGAATGCACAGTGAATTCACTACATTTCAGCTTGAAGCTTCATTCAGCTTTGACTCTAAATCCAATTCCAAGCATCGCTGTTTTTCAAACCAAATTAATTTCAATCCCGGTCAATTTCCACAGCATTCTCACCTCCCAATAAAGCGCGATTGAACCTTATGTTCGTAACACAGTGCTGGTTTCCCCGAGCACCCTCCCCCACTCTCTCTCTCTCTCTCTCTCCTGCTGCTTCCTGGGCTCCTTATAGATCATACAGTCATACAGTTCAGCCTCCATTTCGGTTGAAAGTGAAAGTTTTTTTCTTCCTCTTTCTAACCAATCATGTTTGTGTTCAACCCATGATGATGCACACAGAGAGGTCAAAATCGTAATCCAAATAACAAAGTGGCAAAACAATGTGTGAAGTGGGTACTGACTATATTTTGCAGTTCCTTTAATCTCATTGAATAGACTACATTCCCATCCTTGTGTTTCTTTATGGTTTCTGAGACCCACGTCTACTACTGAAAGAGCAGGGAGGTATCCTGTTTGCAGAGAGAGAGAGCAATGCCATTCGAGAATGTAATAAAGGTGCAGCCTCACCTGCCTTAATATGCAGTGTGTGGTTACTGAGTTCCGTTTCCCTCTCCAGACTCTGGTGGTCGACCTTTCAGTTGCTATCAGAATCGTACAGACCGGAAGGTTTGAGTCTTGCGGGGATGGGAATGCAACTTCCTTCCCCTTCCCCCCAACAGCTGCTGTTGCTTAGAGTTTAGTTTCATCCATTTTAGTCTGGTCAGTCGCAGTCACCTGCACAGGAGCTCAGGTGGGTGGATGAGTGTGGGAAGGGAGTAGGGCATATGAGGTCTCTACTGCAGTAAACATATTAGCAGGGCAGACTTTGGTTTGAGCCCGCACTTTACATGCAGAGAAAGCAGCCTGTTCACAGAATATGCAAATTCCAATCATGGTTATTTTAGGCAGCAATCTACTATTTGTTTTTTTTAAGCACATAAATCCAGTTTTGTGCTTGGGCAAACTGATGTTGAAACATTTTGTGGTTTCAGAATAAACTAGTAACAGGAAAATCCTGTTTTCGTGATTATTCAGCGCACAGTATTAAAGGTTATGGGAATGAAGGACCTTCCATTTAGTTTCGTTCCCCAGCTTCGCCTTCACAATGTATTCGCCCACAAAATACACAGTCAATTCACTTTGCAATATATTCTGTGAAGTGCTTTGAGACCTCATGAAGACGTGATAAGGCACTATATCAAATGCAAGGATTATTATTATTATATTATATAGTTGCCAGTGCACAGCACAAGCCCCAGAGAATAGAGATCCACAAACTCGTGTAGATGCTGAGAATCATACATTGCTTTTCCTGTGCTTCCACAGACCTACTGGTTTCCGAGGCAGATCTGAACATCGCTCTGAGTTTTCAAACTTCTCTAAAAAAATAATTAAAACAACAGAAAATAAAATTAAAATACCAGAAAGGCAGGAAGGTGATGAAGGTGGTTGCAATCTGGGAGTTCAGAAAACATATAGAAAGTGGTTGAGGCTCATTCTTGAAGTGCACAAGGTCATCCGAATCCCTTAAATTGTGCTACTCTCTCTATCAATTACCTTCTTCATGTCCATTATCTCTCAATGCAGAGCATGAAGTGCCTCTGAGCAGTGCACTCAACAACAACAAAGAACAGAATGCAATAGATGGGAGAGAAGTTCTAGCATATTTACAGTACAAAGGTTGCCCTTGCATTGAAATAAACATCTACTTTAATGCTATAAAATGTAGGAAACCTAATAATCATTGTCTGAAACTCATAAAGAAATTGCTGATAAGGTTATAATTGTTGAACTAGCCTTACCATAACTGAGCTGTGAACAAATAGCAGTTTCAAATTAATCCATACACAATCTGGTTGCAATAGTTGATTATGATGTGTATGGGTGTGTCTGAAAAGTATGCCCACGCATTATGTGTGAGGGGAGGGAAAAAAGGGAGTCAAACACCTTAGTTGATAAAGAAAATCAGCATTAAAAAATACCAGTTATGCTCTTTTCTACAGTATGATAATAATAATAATCCTTGCATTTGACATAGTGCTTTATCATGCTTTGAGATGTCTCAAAGTGCTTCACAGAATATACTTTGTGGGTGAAACATAGTGCAAGTGCCTTCAATGGGGCTTTCTGATAGTCTTCGAAACCACTTGAGTCTTCTGCATGTGATTTCGGAGAAAAAGAGCAAAGTCGTGAATCAGAAGCTCATCCCTCTGAAGGTCTTTCATTGTATCTAAAGCTTTAATAGTTGTCCTTGTGCAAGTTGTAATACTACAGGGCTGGCTAAATTGCATTATACTCTCTTGGCTTATTTGATTCCATTCAGTACACAAGATCCTTTCCACATCTTTAAGGTTTTTTTTGGTACTTAGTATCAGCATGGCGAATACTTAGAGTTTCATTATTCTGGATTTGCTGGATCTGAAAGTACTGGAATCTCACCTGGTCTAAACTAAGTAAGTTATTGAAGTAAGGTTTTAGTTGCGTGTGTTTGTTTAACAATGTTTTCTCTCTTAGCTACGAGCTGGTGCATTTGATGAATTCCAGATTGCCACCATGCTGAAGGAAATACTCAAAGGCTTGGACTACTTGCACTCCGAAAAAAAGATTCACAGAGATATAAAAGGTATGTCTTGATATTACCGAGTACGTTTGCTTTTTATCCGGTGCGAAACGCTACTTGTTTCTGAACGTTTATTTCTTCTTCAGCGGCCAACGTTTTGCTCTCTGAGCAAGGGGAGGTTAAACTGGCGGACTTTGGCGTAGCTGGTCAGTTAACGGACACACAGATCAAGCGTGATACTTTCGTAGGCACGCCATTCTGGATGGCCCCAGAGGTGATTCAACAATCCGCTTATGATTCAAAGGTAAGAGCACTGCCATAGTTCATGTTTACACTCTTGTCAGGGATTACCAGTTCAAGACAAGTTTTAATTCCCGAACCCTCACCTGACACCATGCCCATCAGCTCGGAATTGATATTACAGCTGCTCTATTTAAGTCAGACATCACCTCTCATATCTCAGCTCCTTGCATTATAGTTATATAACAGGTCTGAAATGCTACAGGGCAAATTCCATTCTTCAAGACATTATAGTTGGATTTATTCTTGGTTTCAATGCAACTGTGCTGAGCACTTAAAGAAATTGACTTACATAACACTGTACATATGTCGTGCCCATTGCTATATAGGGTCCAAAATAACAAAAGTTCCACTTAGTGGACTGTACCAATCCCCTGTATTATGATCTCAGTTCCTTAGACAAGAGTTTTGCAATTTTGCTTTTGGTGAGTGCTGCCAGAACAATGCAAGTATATCAATAATGTAGAACCGCAAAAGATAACTTTGGGCCTTTGCCTATTTTCAGGCTACGTGGCTGGATTGCTTTGTTGTCTGCAAAACCAAATCTTCTTTCATACCTGCAAAGTTGGCTTTATTTAGATTTAAGACCTTTGCTTCGGATTCAACTATATCACTCTCTAACTTAATGTTAAATTCCATCATGTTATGGTCACTCTGCCCTAGAGGAGCCTTATCTTCCAGATTGCTGATTAACCCTATTTCATTACACAAAACAAGATCTAGGATAGCCTATTCCCTTGTTGGTTCCTCAGCATATTGTTCTAGAAAACTATCTCTAATGCATTCTATAAACTCATCCTCTAATATACTTTTGCCAATTTGGTTTTCCCAGTCTATATGAAGATTGAGATCACCCACTATTCCCCTTGCTACATGCTCCTCTAATTTCCTGATTACTACCCTGCCCAATACTGTAACTGCTGTTTGGGGGTCTATAAACTACTCCCACGAGTGTTTTCTGCCCCTTGTTGTTTATTACCTCCACCCATACTGACTCTACATCCTGATTTTCTGATTTAAAATCCTTCCTCTCTACTGTTTTTATCTCATCCTTTATGAGCAGGGCTACCCCCCCACCTCGTTTTCCACATCGCCCATCTTTCCTATACGTCGAATGTTTAGCTCCCACCCTTGGTCTCCCTGTAACCACGTCTCACTGATTGCCACTAGATCGTACCCATTTATGTCTATTTGTGCACTTAATTCTTCTATCTTGTTATGAATGTTTTGTGCATTCAGATGTAGTGCCTTTAAATTTGACCTCTTACTATTTCCCCTACTCGTTAATGCCCTATTTCCTTTGTTGAGCTTTTTGTCCCTACACTCTGTTCTTTATCTCCCAAGTCACTACACAGCTCTACAACCATGACTGTTCCTTGCAATGTCGGTTTACGTTTAACTGTAGCTGTAACCCTCCCACCCTCTCCCCCTTAGTAGTTTAAAGCTCTGCCTATCTCCCTATTTAACCGTTTTGCCAGGACATCTCCTTTCATCATCAGATGCTGCTACTTCTTGCACCTATTCATTCAGTCTTGGAAGTGTGATAGTTTAGCAGGTTGTGAGAGTTAATAATTGTCAGCTAAACGGAAGTTGTGGAATGGAAAGAATTTTATTGCTTTTATTAATAAAATTATAATTCAAACACACTATGCTCAAGCTAGCTTTCTGCTGTCTTATAATTAGAGTCACACTGAAAGAGGAGCTTTGATTTCAAACAGTTTATTTTCTAAGCACGTGATGAACAGGCCATGCATTGTGATAGTGTTTTCTGAACCTGTCTTACCTCCCACCTCTGCAGGCTGACATCTGGTCACTAGGAATCACTGCCATTGAACTGGCCAAGGGCGAACCACCCAATTCAGATATGCATCCAATGAGGGTCCTGTTTCTTATCCCCAAGAACAACCCACCAACACTTGCAGGAGAGTTCACTAAACCTTTCAAGGAATTTATAGATTCGTGCCTGAACAAGGACCCTTCATTTGTAAGTATTTAACATTATATTTTCTATCGTTGCCTTCCTTGCCGCTCTGTTTATTAATAAAAGAGCGTTGGGTTGAGGTTTGAATCTGATTCTTTTAAATCGGTCACTTCTGAAAACTACTTGTTCATACTCTGGCCACTTTCAGGGCCACCAGGTACGGAAATCTTAGCATTCCCCTGCCCGACACAGCCAGAGTTGAAGACCTTATATTCAGCATGTGTCCTGTACTGGATGTTATCAAATATGTTTGACTGTTGACATATTAGTATTTACCTCTTTTTTTCCCAAATTCTTTAGCGACCAACAGCCAAGGAGCTTCTGAAACACCGATTCATAACCAAAAATTCCAAGAAGACTTCTTATTTAACAGAACTAATCGACAGGTACAAGAGGTGGAAGGCAGAAGGGCACAGCGATGATGACTCCAGTTCGGATGAGGATTCGTAAGTACCTCTAACATCATAGCTAAACATTGACTGCTTGACACTGTTGAAAATGTCATTCTAAAGCTGCTTTTGGCTCTGAGTAAATGCAGTGTACAGGGGAGGCACTGAGTAATATAGAGCAGTAAAGTCCCAGGTTTGATCCTTTGTTTGAATTATCTGATATCACCTGGAGCAATGCTGAGTAGCCTATGGTCGTTTTATGACTCAGGACTAGAAAGGAAAAAATATGGCTAGGATGTCTATTTCGAAAGACTACCTAAAGATCCCTCCTAGACCTGTGGGTGTTGGTGGACACAAATTAGGTGTGGCTGTGATAGACGCGGAGTTCGAAATAGGCACTCACTGTATAATACTATGGCATCACAGGGCATGCTGAAACTTGCTGTCTATATCAATACCTGAGGTATTGGGTGGTTGATGGGACCAAGGAGGCCGTATTGAAAAACAAATCACTGCCTGTAAATTTGAAGGTTCAGATTGAATTTTCTGCAGTGTTTGAATGAATCTGTCACACACCATTAAGAGTTTTTGTTGTTTTGTACCTGTAGGGCAGACCAGGACAAGGAGAATAAAGGCTCGATGCCCATTGAATGGAACTTCACCACAGTGAGGAAAAAACCTGATTCAAAGAAAATGCAGAATGGAACAGTAAGTGCTAAATAACAGGCAGCTGTAACATATTCTGTGAGCAATGAGATTTTCTTTCCTCTCAGTCTGTTTACTCCTCATATTCCACGCTACCAATGTCTAATGATTTTCTGCCTGTAAGTCTTGCTGGGTTATCGAAACCTGAGACTCTTTCATTTGTAAAAGGCAGCGACTGATTTTTAGGGGGAGAAGTGTGAAGAGGCAAGGTTTGACTGAGTTCTGTGTTTTTGTGTGTTTGAAGAGGGAGATGGGAAGAAGGGCCAGGGCTACTGGTGGCATAAATCTGATTGCTGGTTTATTTTTAACTTCACTTCAGTCTTCAGGAATGTGCAGTGTTCCCACAAATATTCAGGAGCGGTTGGGGGAAGGAAGTCATGCCCTCCCCTTCATCTCTGATCAGAACTACTGCTCCCAATGTAAAGGGCTAGTGGGAGCAGTAGCTGCTGCTGTTGTGTCACAACAGCAGTAGAGAATAGGTTAATGTGACAGCACCAGCAGCAATCGGTGATTGTGCATGCCTCTGGATGTATGGGTCATTTTTAGTGCATACTAATGTATGACTGAGAAAGCAAGTCAGAACATGGAAATCTTGCATTGAATTGCAGTTTACCAAGCAATCTCATACTGCAGATCTGTAGTGAAATCATAACAATTGTTCCCATACAAACCAGTTAATTAATTACTGTTGATTTTTCATCTTGTCCTCCTTCAACATTATTTGAAGTTCAGATCAGGCATGTTGCAACCTTTTATTGATTTCAGCTAGAAGTCATAGTCATTGATGTATCAGGCAGGTGATTAAATATCAACAAGAGGTCTAAATAATAATAATCCTTGCATTTGATATAACGCATTGTCATGTCATTGAGACGTCTCAAAGCGCTTCACAGAATATACTGCAAAGTGAATTGAATGTATATTTTGTGGGCGAAACGCAACAGCCAATTGCACACAGCAGTGTCCCACAAACAGTCATGGATTGAATGATCAAATTATTATGATTTTGTTTTAAAAAGGTATTATTACTCACGGAAAAGTGATCCACCAATTGAGTAATCACAGGCATGTGGACTTGCCTTATAAACTTGTTCTCCATATAGATGCCCTAGAGGAGTCCTGTAGCTCAGTGGTTAGAGCACTTGTCTCGCAAGCAAGAGACCTGGTTTCTATTCCCGGCAAGGCGAAATGTTGGGCAAGTTTCCTTACTCCACACGCCTCTGTTTACCTAGCAGTAAGTAGGAACCCGGTTGTTATTCGATTGGAGGATTGCTTTTCCGGGTGATAGAGATGCCACACTCTATGAGTGAAACATGGCTGGAATATAAGAGGGATATGGTCAGAGGCAGTGAGTAAAGGATAAATTGAGTTAGAAAGGATACAGTGGTTGGAAGATTAGTGCTGTAGGTTTGCTATATATTAATGCTTGTGTTTGTAAGAGTAGTTGTTATTTGAGGATTGCATGCTACTATCGCTGAATCATACTACCATGCTTGTAATGCTAAAGTCCCATCATTTACATTCTTTCATTATCTAGGATCAGGATCTGAAGAAATTATCAGCTTGCTTATCGACTATAATTACTCCTCTGTTTGCTGAGGTAAGCACAGTGTGGAAGCCTTTTGAAATAACAGTTTTCGTTTTTCACAAAGCAGTGTTTAAGAAGGACTACATTGACATTGCTCTATTTTCTCAAAACAGCTCAAAGAAAAGGAAAAAGATAATGTGGGAAAGACTGAAGCAATAGAGGAACTTGAAAAAAGCATTAATCTTGTGGAAGCAAGCTGTCCTGGCATCACAGAGAAAATGATAAAGAAACTAATAGACAGGTTTCAAAGGTCAGTTCCTACTTAATTCCTGATCATGGCAGAACATTGATTGTAATGCAACGGATTGTTTCAGACGAGAACAGTTCTTTCCTCTATCTAATATGAATAAAAGGATTGTTATTTCATTCATCTCACTTTTCTCATTAATTGTCGCAGTGTCTTGTGAAATTTTCCTAGTTTTATTAGTGAACAATGGAGCTGATTTAAAGAACGTAAACCTCCAAATGAATTGTATGTTCATAAAATGTTGAACCTTTCCTGCTAATTTTTGTCTTTTGTTCCTTTTAGGTTTTCAGCTACTGAAGCATCCTAAAAGAATTGCCAACATACTTGGTCTCTTTTGTTGGTACCAATAGAACAATAATGTCAAAGCTCCTCGTAATATCAGGTGTTTTCCTGCTTTTCTGTTTCTGGACATGCATTTCAAATCTCTTAAGAAGAATTTTGCAGAAGACTATTCTTACTCGAAACATTTTTCAAAGGATTTTGTCAATAGAAGGATTGTAAACACTTCTGTGTGCGTATATATGAATGAATGATACAGTCAGGAAAGAGAATTGTGTTTGAATGTTTAATGCTAGCAATCGAATGATCCTTAAAGAAAAAAAATCTCCATACATTATTTAATAAGAATCTCAAACACCAACACTCCATTGGGTAACTGACCTAGCGAAGAGTTACTCAAATGCTGCATTTCCTTAGTCTCCATTACACTCCAATGGTACCAGATCAGAGGCAGCTTAGCATTTTGCTCCTAAGAATTGCCAAAATTATAGGTAAAAATAAAGGTGGGTTGGGATGATTTGAATTTGAAGTGAATGGAATCCCAGAACACAATGGAAATGTATCTTTGAAAATTCTATTAAAAATAGAAGCCCCTTAATAATAATAATAATAATTCTTGCATTTGATTTAGTGCCCCAATCATACATCAAAACATCTCAAAGTGCTTCACAGATATACTATAAAGTGGTGTGACTGTTTTTTGTGGGTGAACGTGGCAGTCAATTTGCATAGCAATGTCCCACAAGCATCCATGGAGTGAGTGGCCAATTTTATTTATTTGAGTGACCAATTTCCCTTGATTCTAAAGGCAACATGTAGGGAAATGTGCAATTATCCAGGAGTTAGCTCACCAAGTTCTGTTTTAGCACTTGAATTTGCTTCTTGCTAAAACAAACCAGAGTGGACTTAACCTGGGAGTATTCACCTCCTCCATCATTACTCTTGTAGTATAATATTGATAGCTGCATGGTTAGCAACAGGAGCTAGTTGTGTCATTGAAGTTCCATCTTCCTGTGGCACATTGTTTATTCTGGATGATGTGATGAGCTTCATGGTGCTTCACTGCATTCTGTGATCAGCTGTAGTCTTACACACCAAAATTAATTTATGGTTTATAACATTTTCAATGTCTATATGCTCCCTCTTGGTGACATCATCTGCAGACATGGGGTCAACTTCCACATGTATGCAGATGACATGCAACGCTTATCTCTCTGCCTCCACCCTCAACTCCAGGACTACTGCTGTCCTGATGGATTAGCTGTCGGACATCAAGTCCTGGATGAGAGTTAACTTTCTAAAGTTGAATGTCACCCTCTCCTGATCCCAACTGCCTGCTCGGGTCCAAATTCCTGACTGTCCAGCGACTTGGGATGTCCTCCCGACACGAAAGGCGCTAATATAAATGTGATTTGTCGCTGCTGTTGTTTTCATTTGTAACTCTTTGGTCAGTTTATAAAAAAACATGGGGATCAGATCTTAACAAAGGAAAAGAATACAATCTGGCTTATCAAATGTTGTGTCTCATAACTTCTAACCCTATCTGTAACTTAACCACAGAAGTCCTTTATTCACTCTTCCAGTTCAATGGAATCACCACTCTTAAGGTGGTATTTCCATGCTGCTAGGATCCTTTTGCCTCCAGTTCTAGGAGATCCTCACAGCAAGGAACCTAAATATAGAACTATTTAGTGATGGTTCGAAAAGTACTGTCCGTATCTTAAGCTTGCAAGTTCAGCCACATTAGAGAGAAGACTATACAGTATATTTGAAGGATGCCCTTAGATAATTGGTAGCTGTATAACATTACATTTGGTAATCGTTTCTGCTTGGAACGAGGCTCACCACGACTATGTCAACGGCATGACACAAGACAGCAGATAAATCGGTTGTACAACAAAGCAAAATCCAGGTAAAAGCAGAAAGCTCTGCTGTACAACCTGATTTATGGAAAGCATGCAAGATCAATGGAATGAGCATTTCCTTTAAGATTAACACAATCATCTCCCAGGCTACTCCCAGCTCCAACATGTTGAGACTTTACAGGGAGGGAGGCATGAGGAGTAGTCATATTAAAACTCAAGTGGTACAAGGGAGAAAATTCAAGTTTTAAAGGACAATCTGAAAACTTCTCCTGGGGTGGATGTTGAGTCAGAGAAGTGACCTGGGAGGTGTGCAGGAAATCTTCATTCAGAGAATGAGAATTGCTACGAGTAGGTAAAATTCCGATTTCTCAGGATGGGGTATTTTGGAAGATTGCTCTAAATTCTCATAAGTTATCCTAGTACAAAGTAGCTTAATAGCTGAACGCATCCATTTATTTTTAACACACACACTTTTACCGCACTTGCTTGTGCTCTGTTTCAATTTGTAATACCATATTAACATCTCCCAGCTTTGATTTTGTAGGATTCTTTTTTAATATAATTATGGCCTGGCACCAGAGAGAAAGCTGGTTGCTTCACAGTCCTGTAATATTTATAAGGTTGACATTTAATTGAGTAAAAGAGATGAAGTGTGATTGGCGTTTCTGGCAATGCAAGGAGAGCTCCTTCAATTGCTGAATTAGAATAATAGTTCTGTCAGCTTCTGGTTGTAAATATGTGATGAAATTTAAAAGCAATAGTATAATGATTTGAAAAGAGCAACATAAAAAATCCATGTACAGCTTGATTGATTGAATTTTGCTTCTTTTGTAATTTGACATGTTCAGAGGTTTAAACTTTAGAAAGCAACTTCAGAAGGATTCTGTAACCTCATTAGTATAACTTTGCAACTTTCCAGGTTGCTATGAATGGGTGATTTTTACGTCCTGGCCCAGGGATATCGAGTGTATGTATATTTTGCTAAAGATTGCAACAGGGCATTTTTCACTTTTGCTTCAGACTGCTCAGAGCTATTCGGGGAGGAGGGAATGGGGAATCTAGAGCATTGCAGTCATTTGTATCGTTCATTGCCTGATCTGTATATTTTACATTTGCACGACTTTTTTTTATATAGTTTGCTTATATTTGCCAAACTTTTTTGTTGAAAAGTGAAAGGCTTGGAAATTAAATGGCATAACCATTACCAAATAGGACGATAATTAATTGTCATTAGAGTTTACTTTTAAACATTATTTCATCCACGTTGTTGGTAGAGAATATTCCACTGAATGCCAAGGACATTGCTTCTATTTGTGCCTGAAGCCCGTTAAGAAGATTTTTTTTCTTACGATATTTTTAAACGAGTGAAAGCAGTTTAAAGTTAAATAACAGTTTAGTTTTATTGGGTTTGTCTGTCACATTACATGGAAATCTTCTGTATTAAATAAAAATTGTCATTCATTTTGGAAATCATTTTGGAAAACAGCAATTAAAGAATTGATTAAAGCAATATTTTTGTAAGTGTGTGTAAAAAAAAGTAATAGGTTTGTAAATATAGATCATCTGAGTCTGTAAAAGTGATGATGGGTTTATCTATTTCACATGTAGGCAGCACAAGCTATAGCAGTCGAATCTTTGTGGCCGTTAAGTTTTGTAAATCTGTTTATAGATGATAACTTGATTTTCTTAGCCATGGGTTTTGAATGGTTTTATGAATAAATATTTAAATCATTCTATTCGCCTGTTATTTCATGCAAATTTCTCACAAATTGTCTATGATTGGAGAATCTTCACTCAAGAAATGAACCGACAGTAAGTTGTTCCCACCATCACTTACACGGCACTGTCATACCAGTCCTAAAAATAACACTGAAATGCTTGATTCATGTACAATACAATTTACATAGCGCCTTTCACATCAGGAGGATGTTTCAAAGTAGTTGACAATGCTAGATGCGCAAGTTCCATGTATGTGTGGGATATAAGCACTGGCTTTTTAATGGTTATATCTGTTTATATCTTAGATATACAAAGGAGAATTCTTTGTTGCATGCTCAAATTTGCATTCACATGAAACCACCTTACCGCATACATTCAGAGCTGGGCTGTATTATACCTCTAATACATAAAAGACAGAAACAAGATTTTTAATTGCCAATCCTTTGACGTGCTGGCAAAAATCCTGTTTAAGTACATCATTTTAGTGCTCCGTATTTGATGTCACCAACATGAAAATAATTACTATTTTTCTGCTATGAAGCCAGTTTTCATTTAATTTGTACAACATCCTAGCACTTGACATACCAACTATTACTGGTTACAGTGGTTTGGAATAATATTCAGCCCCAAACAAATAACCTCTTATAGAATAAAGTTTGATGCACAGCAAAACATCAATAATCACGTATAACTTTGTGAAATCTAAAACCATAAAATTCTGGTTCATCAAAGCAGATTGGCTCAGAAACTACTAGCAGTTTCTTCCAGTTGGTTCAGAAATCGATGCAGAAGTAAAGAAAGGTCATGCTTTGGTTAAACAAAAAGTTTCCCACCAATTCTGTTTGTCAGATATACTTACACTCTTAGCCAAATTGATCCTAATTGTGTTGAGATCACTTGGAAGATGTGGTCATGCCTGCATAACTGAATGCCAGCATAATAATCATGCTTGTATTTGAAATAGCACAACACATAAAACATCTCACAGAACTTCACACAATGAGTTACTGTTGGGACTTATTATGTGGACAAATATGGCAGCTGAACCACATCTAGAAGTTGGGGAGACTTCTGTATCATTCAGTTTGTAACGATCAGGAAAAGCTACTACTGGTTTTCCATCACTGCAAATGTTACCAGCAGTCAAAGGCTATTAATCAGAGCTCTGTGCATGCATGTGAATAGGCAAGGCTCTTCATCCACACAGAACAAGGGTGCATGCCAAAGGTATAAGTAGAGGTGTCTGTTCACATCATTATTAAAATGGTCATGAGTCTAACTAGATTCAGAAAGAATCACAGCAGTTCAAGATCTGCATTAATGTGTAATTCTAGTTCCTCAATAAATTTTGTAATGGCATTGGATACAAGGCCCTAGGGAACTGGCATAATGCATACAGGACATGACAAAATTAAACAAGCATCCAACACCTGCTATACAAACAAAATTATGAAGCTGTTAAAATGCACAATGGAAGTAATGAATTAAGGAAAGGACAGTTTCTTCCGCCATGATTTATCTAATACTGTGCATCCTCAATGAATGTTACTCTGTTCATTCTTGTGCAAAACATCTACAATGTCTGATAGAACAGCAGCAAAAGTAATCTTTCTAAATTTCTGGACTTTATTAAAAGGGAAAGAGATCACAAGGGCTCCATAGAGTAATATATCTTCCAAACAAGATCACGAGAGGTTTGCCTTAAGAAAGCTCTTTAGTCCATTTGATTTCAATCTTCCAGAATAAATACCCACCCTCTCAAGGTAAGAACATTCAGATCGTTCAAAAGACAGTTAAATGCCTTGGGTGATGTGCCAAAGGGATGAATGTTTCTGGGATGAATAACCTTTTCGCATCCTTGATGTTTCTTCCATTATTCACAATGAATCGATGGGTTTACAAACAATCTCAGGCACTTCACTAACTGTCTTCTTGTGAAAATCTACAACTTGCATTGAGTGCATTACCTGTTCCTAATGAAAATCTACACATGTATTTAATGTATGTAGCCTCTTAACACGCTTGGTTATAGAAACAAGTATTTTGATATTAAACAAACCAGTTCAAAGATGAATTACACACATAGATTTATTAAACCATTTACTTCAGGTGAATAAACTAGAAAAATAATGGCTTTTACAATTATATTCCTTCTCTCCAGAAAACCAAGGTACATGGCCAGAATCAGCCTTGACTTTGTCCTGTTCATATTTCCAGTATCAATTTGTCACCAGTAGCTAGTGTTGTTTAACATGATAAAATGGTAAACAATTACCACACCAAACTAGATGTAGTGTATAAATACATTATACAAGTTAGCACAGTGGTCCATCACTGAAGTATTTTCTGATGTGCCACAATCTCTGATGTAGAACATTGCTTATGGCTGCTTCACAGTGGAGCAAACGTACAAAAACAGCCTCTTTCTAAAACAACGCATGCAATTATACACTTTGTTGCAGAACTCCTAAAGGTAGTATGAAAGGGGTTTATATGGCTTAAATGTACTTTATCATGATGCAGTGATTGTGTAGGGTTCATAACACCGAAACCAACGAAGATCAGACTTCAGATCAGACTTGGACTAAATGAATCCAGTGTAAATAGTTAAGTGGCTGGTATCGTCATCATAATTCAGATTAAAAGATCTGTTTTTATCTTCTTCAGATAACTGAAGGGTATCAGCAGAAAACATGCCTGCGGTTAGTGGCGACGATTTTAAAGCTTTGCCAAACAACCGGGGATGAAAGTACGGAGTGATAATTTCAGAGTCTGAATCGCTGGACTCGGTACCACTGCTAACATATCTTTCCGTCACCTGCAGTGGACCTTTGTGTTTCAATGCCACATGCAGTGGATGCACAGGCCTCAATTTATTGAGGTTTTGTCTCCGAGTCAGAGGTACGTAATAGCCCAAGGGTCTAAAGTCTGAGCCTTGGATTAGGCGAAGTGTTTTCATATCTGATTGACTGCGTGATCTCTTTGGAAACTGCGGGCATCTTTGGTTGTCATCCTGATCATCTTCCTCTTTTACAATATTGAGCCCACTGCCACAACTATTCCTGGTGGCAACCCCTTGGTACAGTTCTTGGTTTGCTAACAAGTTCTGAGGAGGTGGACTAACTGAGGCCCCATCAGTTCTCGACGGCCTTAACCTTTCCTCATTTAGTGAAAGCTGTCTTGACCCGGGAAGAAAGTCATCCGAATAAAAGGCTAACTTTGCAATATCATCCCCGACATATTTTGCATCTGCTGTGAACGTGGGCGAATATTCAGGTTTTAGCAGCATGGTCCCAGAGACATTCTCTAAGTCACCTGCACTAGTTTGTAAATGCTGCCTGTTTTTACGTGCCTGGATTCTGCTCTTGTCAGCCTCACTGTCACTGAAGCTCGTGAAATGAGAGGGGCTGGGGGACCGAGTGAGGGCTTGTGATGTTAGCTCTGCCTCAGGTTTCGAACGTTCAAGTTCTGTTGTAAAGACGATATCCACCGCTGACACCCTCCTCTCCCGCCTTTGCCTGGATTTACTGCTCGCATCTTCTGACCACTCACTGCTGGCAAATCGCCGCGTCAGCTCCTTCACCTGATTGGAAAGAAACATTCTGGGCACACTAAGCTGACTGATGCACATTTGAAATGAATACGGTAAATCCAACCTCAGCACACTTCTCTTCCTCATAAAACCTCAGAAAGATAATACCACATCACACTGTTCTCACAATGATTTTAACAGAACCACCAAAAAAAATGTTGCTGAAATAGACAGGAATATTAAAACATGGCACATCTTATCCTTTTTTTTGGCAGCTGGGGCGTCTGACACTTATCTTAGTCTAAGTGAGTCATGCTTCTGCATCCGCCTCTGTCATCATAAACCTTCAGTTCTGTTTTTGATGATCAAACTAATTTTGACAAACAGAACTGGAAATGCAGTGAAGCTTATCATGAAACAAAGTACACGCTATGATTTGAGGATCTCACACCACCACTGACAAGAAGTCAGGCACTTCTTAAGGAAGAAAGGCAAAAAATGTATACATTATGCAGCCAAGCCTTGTTTTACACGCCCTATGGCTGTCAATTAAGGGGAGTATCATCAATGGGCAGGCAACAGATAGCCACCCAATACATCCTTCAGATAATGGTTCCTGCTTGAGGAGCCTTAGAGAGCAAAGTAAAATAACTGACTGAATGAGGTGAAGGGAAAAGTAGAAATAAAACATTAAAAAAAATTGTATTCCTCTCCCATAATTTTATAATCTTACTATAGTACTGTCCTTTTGTAACTGAGATTAACTGAAGTATTAACCAACCTATTATTAGTATCTTTGCTGTATTTTAAAAATAGATTTGAACTTTTTTTTATCATGAGAACCAAATGTATGATGAAACTGACAGTGAGACCCTGCAAAATTATTCATAACTGTTTTGTAAAAAATTCTTAGAAATGCAACAATCTCGGTGGCAAATTGAGCAAAGAGGTGGATGTGGCATGTGGCTGGGACCAACAAATTGCATGTGATTTCTGTAAGGACAAGGAACCTCAGAATTAAAATGCAAAACAAGTTGCAAAGATTTATATCTCTCCGACTACATTGACCTTTCTAGAATGATTCATGAGGCATCATCATTCATGCAAATGGTCAAATTAAACACTTTGTATTCAATTGAGAAGAATTCCCCAACCTGTTTTCTCATTGGTAGGTCGGATGCTGACACTGAAGTACTTGTACCAGACTGTGCTTTACGGTGCTTCCTGCAAAAGCAACACAAGGTCAATAACCAAACAAATAAACTATAAGGTCATGGCTTGCTCTAATCAATAATACCATTTGACAGCTATTTACATATATGTGTTTGTTATTTATACATGAGTCTAAGTTATCCAAAATGCTAACGTGCCTATAAGTCACAGTGAGTGTATTTCCCAGAGAATCCAGGCCAGAGGTTTACTGTAACTAAATCTTAAAGATGGTAAATTTAATTGGAGATAGTTACAGTTGAATGTTGTATTTACCACATCATGCAGATAAAACACTGGTAGGCAAAGCGATTGAGAATGGATTTACAGTCCCAACTCTAATACCCTTATGTTTTTTGTTCCTTGAGCTACAGATTGATATTCTTTCTTTTCCTTCCCCATGTTCTTCCCTCCTTTGCTGAAGTCAGTGAGGTCTAATATGTGCCAATAGCTCATGGGATTCTTCAATGAAAAATTTGGAAGTGCCTCATAGCGACCGACCTGCAGGAACACCACTCAACACAATCTACTTTCAGAGATGATTTCCTGTTGGTTAGCATGACGTGCTTCCGGGCATCAGCAGGAGTTTCCACTCGGATTCGGTGTTAAGGAATCCATGTTGGAAATCAGTGCATATTAGAACCATTGGTTCTTGCTGGGATGCAGTTCAGTGCTCCAGTATCTTGGCCAAGTCAATATCTTGGGTGTTTATTACTGCATGGAGCAAATCATAACTTGATCCTTTACTTGTAAGTTTTGAAATGCTGAGAATTTGATAAAGCTGACAGGAATTCTCTTGGAAGTTACCTTTCAAATGGCACCCTCTTGAATTCTCCTTTGCTCATATGTTCTACAAGTTGTTTTTGTGTCCTTCCACTGAAACGAGAGATACCCAATTAAAGCGACTGAGAGTATCTTGACAATCTTAACTATTGTAAGGGCTACTCTCTCTCGTAAACAATAACATCCAGTGAACACAACTTAATAGTGAATATGCAGAACACATATGCATAAATGTTGAACCTATTACCTGTATCGAAAACAGGATCCTTTACTACAAAGTATAGGTCTGGGCTTCGATTTTGGCTCCTCTGACAGCCTAAAAAAAGCATGATACGCAACACAAGTCTTCCAGAAGGCCTTGCATGCATTGCGGCTTGCCATCACAAACTCTAAGGAGTCCTTACAAGGAGCTGTCTGCTATTTTAGAGAAATGAGAACATATCATGAGAACATTTCTGAATCACTGATCATTTTAAGAACATCATCTCCATGTATTAGCAGCAATGCAAACAAAAAAACTCACAAAAACATTGGCATGGAGCTTAATAAGGAAATGTTTCTTCTTAAAACTTAGCTTGCGTATTTTGCCCCAGTTGAATGTATTTATCTTGGTATTACCCTGAAATAACAATAGCAATTTATTACTGGTTATGTTAAGCGGAAGCCACAAAATTCAAAATCGGAAAATCTATTTTTCACAATTATTATTCATACAAAAAACAATACAGCAAAATTATAGACTTCTATTAATTTTTTGACAGCAGTTTGTGCTATGCTCCTGAACCTGAATACATGGAAATCAATTGATTTTGTAGACATAGTAAATGCTCATAATAACTTTTTCATATACAGTGAACTAACCACAGCAAGCACAGTGTGTGTAAATTACTGGCAAACCTGAGGAAAGAAGATAATGGCTATCTCTTGTTCATTGTCAGACATCATAACAGACAGCCCTGTCATGTATGTTTATTGTAATGTATCTAATTAACATTAGGCTATGGATATGCCTCATTTTAAAGTAGATTGAGCTAAGGAGCTGAAACACAAGAGTGAGTTTCTGGCCTCATTTGCATTGCGGTGATGGCCTCTTTTATCTATGCTGTCCTACAACATTCAGATGAGCATCACTGACCTGAAAGACTAATATTCCCATGTGTAAAACAGCAAGGTTGATATGTGTCCCTTCTCCATCGCTAGCAGGATGCAGTCTAATGCCATACATCTCCAATTTCCGCGCTGTGTCCAAGAGGCGGATGTCAGACTCAGCTGGTGTCTGTCCACTGGGCAAAAATGTTAATAGAGTGTTCATTAGTATCAGAAAGCAAAGATATTAATTAAAATTATTAACATCCCATTCATATTGACTCCGGTTTACTGATGGTTGGCTGATGTCGACAGAATAATACATGTAAAGTGGTTTTGCTTGAAAGGCTTTTTGATTTAATGTAGAATTTTCAAAGTGAGTTCTGCCTGATTTTTGGGAACTGTTCAAAAAATACATTTGAGACATAGAAATATATTAGAAGTGACTGAATCTTTCCTATAAAAGGCAGCTATCTATCTATGGCTATTTGGTGCAAGCTATCCACAATCCAAATATATTGAAGTTACTGAAATGTCACCAAAGATTGAATACTCTTACACCTTGTCTGGTGTTTGTCTCATACATACGCATGTTTCTGATGAAAGTTCATTATTTTATGATTCAGAACATCCTGGTTAGGAATGTACTTATTAGATTGCAAGTGCATTCTGTCCAGTTCCTCAGCAAAATCACCAACCTCGGCTGCAAGATAAAGATAAAGCAGAAAATAAGCCTGAAATAGAACAAGTAACAGACCACAACAGGCAAAAGAATATAATAAGCTGCATTAAGTCTGAACTGTAAGGTCTCATGCTTGGGGCCTCACATACTGTTGGGTAGAGCTTAAGCACACAGACTGCATCTATTTGCTTAGACCTCAGTTCTATTCTGTCTTTTTTCTCCACTGATGCACAATCATGTGTCAGACCGTTTAGCGTTCTGTTCACATTGCATAAGAGAGCACTTGCCAATCACGTTAATAGCGCATGCTTTGCGCAGTGAAAGGGTGGGGCCTGCAAGTGTTTGGTCTGTCAGACTGCGAAGCAAAGATAAGATGACAGGAAAAAAAAAACACAGCAAAAATCAATCAGCTTTCCACGGGGACAAAGGTACCTTTTAGTGCTGGCATTGTCCTAGTTGGAGGAGTTGTTAAATATAAGAAAACTGGCTGCTGACCAACAGAACGTGCCTGGAATCTGAACACAGGCACTGAAGTGTGAAGTGAGGTATGAATCTGTGTACACACTGGAATGACTTGAAGCAGAAAGACAAAGAAAAACTGGCCCATGTGAGAAGATGCCTGACACAAACTGGTGTGGAGCTATATTCCTCCAGTCAGTTAACCCTACAAAGAAAAGCAGTCTTTCTTGTGTCTGCGCTGTGGGTCTTTGGAGGATCCAAAGAGTTAACAGCGTTGAAAATTGCCACCATCCCTGGATGGCCCCTCTACATCCGTTGCAGATGTTCCAGTTATTTCTGGTTTTGTTTCCTATTTCCCTTATTTTTCAGGTTTCTCAAACGAAGTACAATTTGCCAAACAAGAAACCAGTTAGGGAGCTACTCCCGGCAATTGCTAACACTGGTCTCCAAACAGACACCAGTTCAAGAATTGCCATCAGTGGCCTAGTCTCTGATTCTCTTTCCTTCCCTAAAGCAAAGCATTCTTGGCCACCTGCCTTCAACATGCTTACCCTGTTGCTTAACAGCAATAATAGATTTGTGTACATGGCACTAGACCTTTGTTGGATTTGGGTTTAGAGGATTTTGACCATAGAGTAAACAAGCATAGCTTCAAACTACAGAAAATGATTCAGTGCTGAATACCTTATTCATCAATCACCTACCAATATTCCTGGCATCAGTTATCACCCTGCTCTTTCCCAGAATAATTTTTCAGTTACAGAAGAAGGGAGCAGGCTTCATAGATGCCCAATAGTTACATGAGAAGTCAATGTCATTTAAGGCAGTCAGAAATGATGATACGTGAAGATGCATCCTCACTGGTACTAGAAGAATGCATTCACAGTGAGCTACAGATGGTAGTAATTTTCTTTTCAAAAGTGATTCTGAATACACAGCGGTTCCTTTACATGCTAATTAAATTCCTGCATTTTTCGTACGGGGTGGATTTTGAGCAGAGGGCAAGAATGGAAACCAAAAGAATTAGCCCCTGTCAGCCAAACACCCAATGACGTCTAGCCAAGTGCCCAATTGAAATACTTTTAACCTAGCAGCAGCTTTAGGGTGAAGAGCCTAGCCTATTTTTCCACTCCTGGCAAAGCATTGCACCCGCTCAGGAGGTTTGTACTTAATTTCATTCCATAAGCTTAATAACGTTGGTTATTACTCACACTGGACAATGTGAGACAGTAAGAGTGCAGCACTGTTATCACTGCAGGGAAGTCTTCCAGTAACCAAGTCCTGTTTGATTTGCTGGGCAAATAGATACCTGCAAAGGGAATGAGAATTGTTACAACCTCTCCAAATAGTACAGCAGGTCCTCGAGTGAGAAACCTCCCTGACTACTGCAGGAAGAGGAAATTCTTTGGTGAGATCACATGTGTTATGTTATTTTCTACAAAAGACAAATGGAAAGATGGTTAAAACCTCAGTCAATAGGACAACACCCATATCATTATTGTCGGGTAAGTAGTTCTATAGAGGAATCTAAGTCTCCACCCGAATGGTGAATTTCGACTTCACAGTGAATTATCCACATGACATCTCTGTTATAACAAGTCCTTACAAATCTGACACTGCAATAACAAAAAGAGAAGCAGCCCAATATAGAATAATAATAAGAATCCTTGCATTTATTATAGCGCTTTGTCACATCTTCTAGACGCCTTGGGACAACCTCCTGACGTGAAAGGCGCTATACAAATGTAATCTTGTTGTCGTCTCAAAGTGCTTTACAAATATACTATAAAGTGAATTGACTGTATGTTTTGTGGGTGAAACGCAGCAGCCAATTGCACCAAAAAAAAAAATTTGGTCACTCAATCCACCATAAATAGTGGATTGAATGACTAAATTATTTCTTTTTAAGTAATTATTTTTTGAAGGGATCATTACCCTCGGAAAAGCGATCTGCCAATCGACTAACCGGGTTCCTATTTACTGCTAGGTAAACAGAGGCGTGCGGAGTTTCACCCTGCCTGGGAATCAAACCCAGGTCCTCTTGCTTGCGTGGCGAGTGCTCTAACCACTAAGTTACAGGATTCCACATATTAAACACAGATTTGTGAACGAGAAATTAAAGGTTTACCCAAACCTTACCATGAGTCAAAATATATATTATCATAGTCGGGCAAAAGGAACAATCTTAAAATAATGCATGCATCCATATCACAATACTTGCAATTTTCCAGTTCCCCAAGACCCCAGCAATCCTTTTATTGCGCTAGGCATTTTTTAAAAAAAAGATACACCAAGTAGAATTGTGTCAGGATGGACACAAATGTGGCCCCTATAAGTTTTACTCCAGGAATGCTAACTAGTAACAAAACGATAATACAGCCAGAAAAATGCAACATTTCATAACAGATTCACCTATGAAAATGTCACATTTTGCATCCAGAGAAGAACTGAAATTGGACAAAGAAAAGGAAACCAATAGATGGACCTCTTCTGAACATAATTGTGAAGCTTCAGTTGCATCAGACAGGAAATGAGAAGGAAAGAAGGGATAAGTGGTTTTCATTGTGCAGAATACAGCATCTGTTAGACAAACTGGTCTAGTCAATTGCCTTCTTCATTACTGCAGAGATCACTCGTTCACCCTTGGAATGAAATGGCATCAAGTGCAGAGTAGATTCCGGCTGAAACAAGTGGTGAAGGTACTGGGGAGTAAAATGAGCATTCAAATAAAGAAGGGTTGAATAAAATATTTCACCGGGGAATAGATCTGCCTTAAGGCAAGGATACTTCCCATAGGCTGAGTGAGGAGAAAACAATGGCCAATACAAGATAAATTAGGGATCAAATGCACTCCTTCTCTGCAAGATCCCATCACATGATTCACTTACCCAGTGGGACATTAGAGAGTTTATGTTAAAATAGTAGATGAAAATTGTGGGCAATCAGTTTTTGGAAGATAAGACTACTGAATCATAAAGTGGTAGTGCTTATGGCAAAATCAATATTGTATTTATAAAAGTGCTGCTCTTCATAGTGGTTATGTTTTTCAAGCAGAAAGGTAAGCATCTAAAAACAATTCTTGAAAGTATTGCCAAATTTAGAAATATTAACTCTATTTGCAGTTGAGAAGCATTAATTTTCAGCAATTATCCGGAAGTGTTTAAAGATACAGAGCATTTTATGAAGGGAAAAAAACAGGCTCTGAAACTTAATACTACTTTATATAATTTCCAATAAGCTTGACCTGAGAAGGTTTTGAATCTTTTCATTGCTTTTGTTTTAATTTTAAAATATTCTTAACTCAAAAATGTTTTAATGCAAAGAGTGGCTCAGTGTAAAGTGGAAATATGCCATGTAGATTTGGAAGGTTCCAGGTTTGATCCATTGGTTGGGGTTGAGTTGGCTGTTCTTGGTCAGGGTAGAAGAACGTCCATTTGTCTCACGACTTTGGACTTGGGAGTGAACAAACCATGTAAGGTTTGCTGTTCCTGATCGGCCCCTAGTGGCTATTGCTTCATTGTACATTTCACAAGGGAAAACAGATATGACTGCATTTGACTTAAAATCCTGATATAATCCATTTGGATGTAGGCAAACCCAAAGTCCATTGAGATATGATGATATTGATGGGTGTTTATTCAATCTGTCTGAAGATCGCAGAGCACTATTGGAAAAGAGAAGGGAGTTTCTCCCAATGTCCTGGGCAAAACAATCCTGGCTGCTTGTGGGATACTGTTGTGCACAATTTGGTTGACGTGTTCACCTGCCTAAAAAAAATACACCAATACTATACTTAACAGTAAATTAAGTGATGTGCTTTGAGATGTCACACTGACATGAAAGGGGCTATTATAAAATGCAATGATCATTTATCAGTCTTGATTGTTTGATCATAATTTGTATTAAACAGATAAAATTCAACAGAATTTTAATGGGTTTCTATTTAGTTTATTTTTAAATTGTGTCCTTTTTGTAGAAACCCTTTTTTTATATCTGTTACCTGGTATATCTGGTATCGGTACACTAATTGAGTCATAGTTTCAAATACATTGGCAGGTGGCAGATGTTGTGGCATTTCAAAGGCAATAACTTAACTGGAATGAGCATGTTAAAAGTAAAGAAACAACTTCCTGCTTGTGCTTAATGGTTTTGTGGCTTTAACTGACGCAAGGGAACAGGTGTGATAGCTGACACAAGGGAAAATAGATGTGACTGCATTTGACTTAAAATCCTGTTATCAAAAATAAATAACAGAGGTTTGAATCTGCCACTTTGGTGAACTGTGGTGACAAATGTTGAACACTGACGTCTACTCCATAATCCCTAACTCTGAATGTGCACTAGTTGACACCATTTACACATTGGCTTTAAAATTTATGCTGGATGATTTTCTAGCAAACTGCAGAATGTATCATAAACTGTTAACATAACCACAACGTAGATCAACATTAGAAATTCCTCAAGCTTTCAAGCACAATCAAAGGCAGTTTAAAAGCATTCCAACTAATTACAACATTAATGTCTGATCATAGGGTGTGTTTTAACGCAATCGAGCTTCTAACAATGAATTCATTCACAAAGCAAGAATGGTAGACGCCCACCTTGTCAGTTCATCTAGTAGCTGCCCAGGATCACGAGGAAAGAATTTCACAACAAACTTAAACATGACCGTCTTATCCCCTGGCAGAGAAACAAAAACATGAACAAACATCACAATCCCATAGCCATGTACTAACTGTTAATATGGATCTGTATTTGTTCAATAGTATATCCAAATGAGAATGATTTACTCAGCATTGCCCTATAAGAAAAAAATAAGGCTATTATGTTTATTCCAGAAATTGAATAGAAATGGACATCATACTTGCCTCTGATTTGTTTTAAAATAGGTTTTAAATGATCCAACCATACCTGCAATTATAGAAATTATGATTAGTTTCGTTACAAAATTAATATGACATTTCTGTCTAGGTGTTCTGGGAATTCTTGAGTTGCTTAATAAATATGTTCAATGCATAATATGGTGCTGAAATAAAACATTACATCTGGGGTTGAAGCTCTGACCTGTCCTGCGTTAGCTTCTACTCAACTGGGACAGTGGTGAGAACAATTAATTTGGCATTGGTATCCCCCACGTTAGGGAGAGCAAATGAGAGCCAGGGTTCCTGCTCCTCATCATTATCGATGACACCCTGCTAGAGAAGAAGCAAGTCTGAACGTCACAAGGCTCAGCTGTGATGTTTGACAGTCATTTTGCCCAAACACTCTGCCTGGACTCGCACGTGAGTAATGGTCATTTGCCTAAAGGAAAGAAAGAACTTGTATCAAAATGTCTAAATAGAGCACTAGCCTCGCAAGCGAGAGACCTGGGTTTGATTCCCGACAGGACGAAACCTTGGGCAAGTTTCCTTACTCCACACACCTGATAATAGTCCCTCAAGAAAAAAATACTAAAATTGTTCACTTAATCCATGACTGTTTGTGGAACACTGCTGTGCGCAATTGGCTGCCATGTTTCGCCCACAAATATACAGTCAATTCACTTTACAGTACATTCTGTATACACTTTGAAGCTCTTTGAGACATTTAGAAGATGTGAAAAGTGCTTTATCAAATGCTATTATTGTAATATTATAAATGCCCTTCACAGGTAATTACTGTCACATGTAGTAACTGTTTTCGTAGGCAAACATAACAGTCATTTGCACCAGCAAGGTACCACAAACAGCTGTGAGGGGAATAATGAATTATTCTGGAAGATTGCTGGCTAGCACAACAGAAGAAATATTAAATTTAATCTATGCAGCAAATAAAATATTTATCATCCTAAGAAGCTGCATATCAACAAGATTAGTTCTTTAAAACACTAACTGGTAACTTCCTTTCCACCGTCACATTTTATTGTATTGAAGCAGTAATAAATTGTTACTTACTATATTACCTTCATGGTCTTCAAACTCCAATCCAAAGTAGTCTTCCTCCACAAGCCTCAGATGGTGGCAGACAGAATCAAAAATCATCTTTCCAAAGGCTTTTTGCTGAAGAGAAGCAAGACTAGTCAATGTTTAGCCATAATTCTCAACACAACTGCTGCATACTTTATACTTCATCTCTACAACAACAAATCAGGCCACCTAATGCCATGTTTAAATTGTGGAGTTGCTTCACTTTGAAGTGAAGCTATAATACCTTGAGGCGGTCAAATCCACTTTAAACAATCTGTAGGGAAGTGGGGCTCCACAGCTCTAGGAGGGATGGACATGCAATAATAATAATCCTTGCATTTGATATAGCGCTTTTCACGTCGGGAGGACGTCCCAAAGCGCTTCACAGAACACACTGTAAAGTGAATTGACTATATTTGTGGGCGAACGCGGCAGCCAATTGCGCACAGCAATGTCCCACAAACAGTCGTAGATTGAAAATGACCAATTTATTATTGTTTTTGGTTTTGGAGGGATTATTATTAGGCGTGTGGAGTAAGGAAACTTGCCCAAGGTTTTGCCCTGACCTGCCTGGGATTGAACTAAGGTCTCTTGTTTGCAAAGCGAGTGATCTAACCACTGAGCTACAGGACTCCACAATGGTTTAAGTGTAAACGCATACATCTACAAAAGCATGTGCAGAAATGCACAGAGACACAATTTGTTCAACCTCTATGCTTAGAACTTTTATGTATATTCTCCAAAGCTTTCCTGATGTTTGAAGTGTTTGACAAATATGTAGTCAATTCACTTTACAGGATGTTCTGTGAAGCGCTTTGAGACATCTTGACGACGTGAAAGCACTATATCAAATGCAAGGATGATTATTATTATTTATGATGTGTCAGGAAGGTTTATAATGCCAGAAAGACAAAAGACATAGCTGTATGGACCAGTTTTATTCTAAGACAGTAACTAATGTCAGCCAGGAGTTACATGAGTGTCATGAAAAACATTTCTTAAGATTGGCTTCAGTGCTCAATTTGCATGAATTACTGTCTTGAAATGAATTCCTTGTTCACTCCCTGCTATCCGTTTTGTAGTATATTGAATATATAATTGGTTCATCCTAAAGATTTTTTTAAAAAACAGACTTAGTTGATAGCACATTTATTTATTTTACTCTGATGCATTTACTATTGGTCACAACAATTATTTTAGCCACATTTAAAGCTCAATAACTTTTGTAACCGTCCTAAGAAAGTCCTAATTTTCAAAGCTAAGATTTTTGTGCATTCAGCTAACCACTATTTCCCCTGATGCTGTCTTTTGACAGACAGAATAATAGTAGTACTATTGCATTAATGTTGTCCAGCCATCTCTTCCCTACCATAGACTAGATGCAATTAAAACAGCATCAATATTTTTCTTTAAAATGGATGTCCCAGGAGTATCTCTCTGTTGTCTGCTTGAAGCAAAAGATTGATGCTGTGAATTATGATCCAAATGTATCATTAATTATAAGGGAAGAGGTTTTTTTTGATAAACACTATATTTGATGGAACCAGTATTCTGCTGCAGAAATGGAATTTCATAAAATCACAGCAGAGTCGCGCTTGTGAAGCAACCTGCATGCCAAGTGGTTAGCTAGCCATGCATTAATGTGTCCAAATAAATTATAACTATAATTGTTGGAGCATCAAAGCAGGATGTTTTATTAAATAAATGAAATGGGAGCAATTTTACAATGATGAGTGAATTGAAAGCAGCCATCAGTACTGATGTCCAGGGCTTTGTATATGTTTGGATAAGTGCCTTAACAACTGTGCCTGAAAGTCTGTCAGGTTATACAAGCAGAATCATCCTAATCTTTGCGTGCCACAGCCTTTGACGTCACTAATTCTATTCAAAGACATGTTTTTCTTTGCAAAATCACAGATGTAGGTGTGACCACAAACTATACAATTTTGTTTTTTTCCTAAAAAAATCCTTTATTTTTGCCCTTTGCTTTTTTTTTCTGGCTGACCTGAACATTAACAGAGATCTAATGTATGCTGTAATCAAGAACACGCCTAAGAAACCAAAGCTTTCTTTTGAAAAGAAATACAATGATGAAGAATGAGAGAGAGGTACTAGGACATATTTTATTGCAGTATAACATAATCTATCAGAAAATATCAAGCCAACCTTTCAAATACACATGTGACTTGATTGGTCATTTGATGTAATGTTGACTCTATTTGTGGAAAGACATGGATCCACTGGTACCAGTTCACTATACTCAACAAAATGCTTCAAGCAGTAGTTGCAACAAATAAGAAGATTGCACAAAGCTACTTAATCCATTGATACAGTTATTGTTCATGTGAAAAGCCAAAGGCTGCGGATGTCTTTAGGAGATACATTTACATTACTGTCATTATTGTCAGAGACATGCTATCTTTAGTGAATACTATCTATGTATGCTATCTTTACCAGAATAACACACTTAGAGCCTACATCTCTCATTCACTGTTGATTCAGTAAAGGTCATGTGATTTTTTCATTGCTTGAAGGATCTTCATCCATAAAGTTCTCTTGTATTGCCGTGCAATGGAAAAACATCTCAGCCAAAGTCTGTTGTGTGTTTTTTTAAGAAATTTTATTTGAATATTTTGAAACTAAGGAAAAAATATTTTGATTTACGACATAAACCGGTAAGCATTGATGGGATGGGATGAGTTTTATTTGTATGAATATATTGACACCAACAGTATTGTATTCTGCAGTTCCTTATTATTATGATTATTATTATTCTTTTCCCTTTGGAAAAAGGTGGTAACCCATCCAAGGGAAAAATTCCATTGTGGTAGCAGTCTTCTGGTACTTTATTCCAAATGTCTAGCCTTCATGTGTGTCAGTTCAGGTAGATAGTACATGATAAGCAAGTCTTCACATCTGACCTTAACTTTACGTAATATTCAGAGGAACATACTACCAGCAATGATCACTTGATAACAAATAACAGTAGGTACACCACCTGATTGACTTTCTCTCTAGACAATGGGAGCTGAGACTAATTGTAGCAAATCCAAAAATGAGCATCCTTCTGATGAGAAATTAAACCAAGGTTGCTATTTGCCTCAGATACCTTGACATTATTCAAAATGAGAATGAAATTTCTAACAGTCCTCCAGATAAATTGATCATTCACTTCATGGCTGTTTGTGGCACCTTGCAGTATGTAAATTTGGTATTGTGTTTGCCTGCAAATAATAAATCACTATATTTGACAGAAATTAGCCATGAAACACTTAGAGATATTTTGACATTTTCAGGGCTATATGAATTCAAGGATTATTTATTTATTCAATGATATCCTACATCTGAGACAATTTTCAAATGGCATTGGTAAACCAAAACTTTTGTACATTTGACTTTCCTCTCTTATACTCTTTAAAATTCTTTTATACAAATTACTGGTACAATGTCTTTAGAGTATAAAAGGCTCCAGATAACACTCCCTAAGGCAGTAATAACAGAAGGCAAATAGAGAAATTATCTAAAACATTGTCTCCTTTGCAACAATTTTCTGTTAATAGGAGTAAATCGTTTAGAAGTGGTGGTTTATTCATATAGTGTCTACTGTGCTACATGGAACAAAAGCATATAAGCTATATGTGAGTAAATCAACATCCTATTTTTAAAAAGTTATATCTATATAGAATTACACTTGCGATGAATGGAAAATTCTGCTCACTATTAATTTGACATAAATTTACAATAAACTTCACATATATATTTCAGCACCCAAAACAATTATCTTCACAGTTTATGTGCAGCACTTCAATAAATAAAACCATTCATAACATTTCTTAAAGTGTCTAGTCGTAGCCTGTGACTACATCTTTAAGTTCTAAAAGTTACATGGTCATAGTGGTTTATTCATACAGAACATCACACATCACATAATATAAGCAGCCTATTCATTATGTTTGTTATCTCACCACTTTATACTTGTCCATATAAAGTCATTGTTTAGTTATTACTTAATTTTCCAGCAATTGATATATCTATGACTTTTAAAACCATTTTGTTATCTGCCCTGTCATATGCCACCTCACATTCAAACAAGATCAAGTATTGCATGATATGCAATCATATCAATGTGTTCAGCCTACCTCCACTTCAAATATTTCACAAGTATCATCCAAAAGGTGGACTTTGAGGTGCATCATCTTCCCGCTATCAGCTTGTCGATGAGATTCTACTTTTCTGCCAGGGTAATTCTTCCTGATCACAGAGGTTTTACTGCTTTCAGGTGCCTTTTCACTTTCACACATCGTTGCAAAATCTATTCAACAAGGTCCTATAAAATCAATATTAAGTATTGCTACAGTAATTTACAGTGAACTTGAAGACCCAACCAAAACATTAGAGTTTCCTTAATCTATGCAGTGAGAAAATATAATTTCCATATTTATATATAATCAGATCAAAAAGATATACAAGATATATACAGATTAATAGTTTCATCAAACTCACAGAATTATGATTGAGGCTCTTGAAGAACCAGTCTATTTGATCACCAGAATGAATCCATCTGACAGCCAAGCCTATGAGCTGAGAGCTGCTACAGGTCTTCACAGAAGCTCAGTCAGCAATGTGTGAACAGTATCAGAAATGGCCAGCTCTTACCTACTGTCAAGTCAAGCAGAAAATCAACATTATTATTCATTGAATAGCACTAATTAGCACATGAGAAGAATAAATAAATTGTGCAGCAGCTGCATTATCAGCAGAACCCAATAATATTATTTGGGGGGAAAAAAAGAGGATAAAGTCTCCAGAAAAACACTTCTCTCAAAACTATTCTTCCTGAGCAAATAATTTGCTTAGGTTATTTGGAAAAATAGTGATAAGAGGGGATGTTTGATTCAATTTGTGATCCACGTTGTATACTTTCTTCACACCTAATACAACTTCTAATTTCGAAAGTAAATCTGATTGGTAGATTCTAAACTGGATCCATATCAACTTTTAGCGGTACATTAAACAATGCGACCCCGGTATTTATTCTAGACAACAATCAGATCACAATTTCCAACAGCAATCTAGTTACTGAAGGATCACACCTGTGTTGCACAGGCTGAAGAGGTTAATAGCAATGATGATCCACCCAAACTTCCTACTAAAAGCTGTTTGACTAAACATTCTCAGCCACCTGCTTCTGTATCCATCTGATGCATTTTTGTCAGTTACAGTAGGGAACAAATACCTACATCGAAACAAGGATGTAAAAGATACACACTTATGTCAATAATTGATTAAAATAGATTAGAATTTTTAAAAAATGGCATTTGCATTTCTTTATTACATAAATATAGGAAGTGGCCCTTCATCACAATTTGTTTTAAAACACAATTACTTCTGTATATTCCCAAAACCTACCTGATCAGCTTCATCTACACAGATTAAATGGCTCCCATTGAGAGTTGCACTGTGGCCAATGCCAAAATCTGTTCTCAGTTTTTTTTAATGTAGGCAACACAGAGAAGAACCCATATATTTGTGCCAAACAGTCAGGTATTATTTAGTTAAATACTATATAAACTGGAATTGCTATTAAGACAGCTAACTTCTGATTTTATTGACTGATATTTTTAGCATGAATAATCAAAAGACAGATCACCTGCAAGACTGACAAATCCAAATAATTATTTCAGCAAAAATTCCAGATGTTATGTGTAAATTGGAGCTCCAGTACAAATCCAGCTTTCCCAGGACACTGGTTCTTTTTCTGGGCTGACGTTGTCTTTATCGGTAGAATTATAATGTGAATGCTGAAGACAAACAATAATCACTCAGGATCCACTCAGTCTGCTCATGCTCGGGGATACAGTGTGCCACAGTTCTTCAGCAATAACCTCTGCAATCACATTTAGTTTTCATTTTTCCATTTATGAAAATGATGCATTTCTTGGACTGAAATGCTGTGATACGTTATGCTGGCATCATTTCATTCTATCAAATATTTTTTGAATTTTGTTAAACTGTCTGCTTTAATTCCCTCTCACAGGATGGGGCATTATGCAGAGAACGGTGTAGAAAAAATGTGATATGATTTTATGTTTAGAGGCATTGAAAGTATTTGTGAAATCTGCTTTTGGAGAGGAAGGGTTAGGGCAATGCACTATTTTCACTGTGACTATGTCATGCCCAAGTGAGGCAAGGGTATGTTTTGACACATCGTTGTGCTATGTGGGTGAAAATGAACAAAAGTCAGGGTTGCCAGTAAACATTTCTGTGCAGACCATGAAAATTTGAGCACTCATCTTCCATTTGTGGTATCGCTTGCTGATCAGTTTTCCAATATGAATAAATACAGATGAAACTTGAACCCATGTCCATGCTAGTGTTCTAGCTTCTGTTAATTACTTTAAGCATCAGCTCATTCTGCTTATTGTCCTCAAACTGTCACCTCCACCATCACCAAAGCAGCTGAGTGAGCAATAAACAGAGGTGGAAGACATAACAGCACCTAAATATCAAGGGTGTAACTTGTCAGAAAACAATGAAGACTGTCTCAGGACTGCAACATATGGGGTAATATTTATTACTATCTGTTTAGTTTTCTTGACACAGATCCCTATAATATACTTGCTAAAAGCTAAGCAAAATTAACTGAAAAAGAAGCTGCTGATACTTTCAACCACAGTTCCATGTGATATAAATAAAGCTTTAAGCACTCTGGGACGCTACCCCATGTGAAGGGCGCTATATAAATGCATGTTGTTGGTGTTGGTTTTGGATTCACTGTTTCATTTACAAATATGCTACAGTATTTCTAGATGGTGGGCATCATAACTCCCTTGTCTTTTGCAATCCTATGTTTTGCAGCCCGATGGATGGTTCCCTCCAGGTCTTCTATCCTCTACTTAAGATGATGCAACAATTCAGATTAATACATTTCACTTGGACCATAGATGACTGCATATATGACAATATATGCAAGATTCTAACCCTCATACCAAATGTACTGATTTAACTTACTTGTGCATACCTCCCCAAAGCCATATTTCTCTTTCTCTAAATATATATATTATATATGCATCAACATCAGAAATGCAACCACTCGCCTCTTCTTAATCCCATTTCTCTTTAGAGTTAAAACCATCTGAAGTTCGTAACACAGGTTCAGGGTCACTTTATAATGTTCATACGGTCATAGTGAACAAAGCAGCTACTGCATTACAGTAAAAACACCAGACTTCGGAATCCCCTTGAGTGCTAGAATAACTCATGTTAATAACATGAGAGATGCATTTAGGATGACAGGTGGCTGAGAGTAATTCAATCCAAAGGTCTGATGCACATTAAACTAGGAGAATCAAAACTTGAATAAATTTCAACATCAGAATTCAAAATTAATTGCTGTATAGCTCTGCCAACTTTTTGTTATTGTGCAATATATACCAAGGTTCAATTGTGTAGCTTATTGAGAGATGCCTACTAATGCTAATTTTTAACTGCATAGATCCTCAACTGATTAAGGGTTTCCCAAACAACGCATGCAAAATGGGAATACTACACCTAAAAGGGTCAACAGGAAAGTCAGCAGATTCATGTGACTGGTTACATGATTATTTTTCTAATGCATTACAAGAAAATATTGGCAGTACATGGTATAGGAAATATCTGTACCAACGTCATAGCAAAATGCATTTGTGTCAAGTGAGCTATTTGCTACACTTTAGCACAGTAATGTTAAGAATATCACTTAGTGTTAATCAGCTCTTTCTTAAAAGAAGCAAGATAACCAAGTTACCTGGTTGTAAGTTCAACACCAGTTCTTAGGCCCAATTATGGTATGTTAATCAATCTTGAGAGCCAAATAAATACTGTATTGAAAGATGAAGAACCAGCAGCAGAGGGCAGCAGTAGCTTAATATTCAAGCATCAGCCATTCATTGAAGTTGTTTTTGGAAGACTGATATATAATGGAATTCTCCAGTGGTGAACTTCTAAGGGTGATTGATGAGACTGATCTCAGTCTGGTGTTCTGTACAGAATCCTACAGAGCACTGATTGAAGTCAGAGAAAATGAATTATAGCACTTTGTATTGGCCTCCTCATTCTTTTTGTGAAATGTGGCAAGAGGTTAGACTCCTAGTTATGTTGGGGGGTGGGGGGGAGAGGGAATGGAGGAGGAATGGGATAGTGACCCTTTTTTGAGTTTCTGTAGCCAATGATCTCCTTTTGCCACCATGATAAAGCAAAATCCTATTTCATCACAAGCAATATGATGGTTTGATCACCAAAACACTGCCTTCTTCAGTGAGACCTCATGCATGGAAGTCGAACAGCAGTTGTTTCATGAGCATAATGGCCAATATTATTAAGAACATTATTTTAAAACAAAAAAATTACAACCATTGCAAATAACCCACAAATTCAAATCAAATATTTCAAGATCCAGTTGTAGCAGTAAAGAAAACACAATTCTGCAGACTTTTTTTAAAAATCTTTTATTAATAAGTACAGATATTGTTCAGACTAACAGTGATTAGCCTCAAATCTAATCTAATAGCTGATCTCAGGCTGGAAAATCACGATTGCCATCACCACCCGGGGTAAGTGAAAGACAAAGAATAATTAGCCAGGGTTCCCTTCAGGGTAAGTTGGCTTTGGGTTAGTTGGACAGTTAGCTTTGTTAGAATAACCACATTAACAGTCACAAAAATATATCTGGCTTCCAATAATGCTGGCTGCAAATGAAGACACTATGGCAACCATCTTAAAACTAGCTTGTCCCAAGAGATGCTTATGGTGGAAGTTTAGGAAGTTCTCTAGGGACATTCTGGGCAATTGTTCTTTTGGAAGAAAATTGTCAAGATGAGGAATCTAGCGTTGAGGCTTGATCCACTTCCTCCTTTTCATAAACCAGCTGGTCAAAATCAAACTGAATACTAAGCCAGAGGTAGGTGCATTGAATACCAAGGAAAACCAAATGAGTGTCAGTCAAGTGCAATAGTAGCTACGTGTTGAATGGTAATGAATAAACAGCAGAGCTCTGAGGTTGGGAGATCTTGTCCCATGTCACAAGTCAGTGTGAAACGATGTTCAGCTGCTACATCTGTTTGCGAATGTTTTGTCTTGGAGCGTTCACTGTTTAGACTGGATTCCCTCTCTAACCTAAAAGTGTGCTTAGCCGTTAAGGAGCCAAGTATCTTCTGTGCCTGAAGGACTTGAACTTGAATGTTTATTGTGACAGGATAGTCCTCCAGCATGTGGTTGCACAAATGTTACTGAATTTCAACTGATATCCTATGACTTTTGGACAGTTTCCAAGAACAGATACAATACTTAGTCATTGGGAAGATCTGAGCGACATCCAATCTAAACGTTGTAACTGCCTGCTGGTATTAAACATTGATCACTGGCAGAGGATGAATCAACTGGAAGCAAAGGAGCTGGTGTGTGTTGATGTGCCAAATAAGTCATAGCAAACCAATACAACAAGAGTACATTTGTATAGCACCTTTCACGTCGGGAGGACGTCCCAAGGCGCTGGACAGTGTACAGCATTTAAGACCCGAGCTGGGGTCAGGGAGGAAGAAGGAAGGGGAGGGGAAGGGAGGTGGCCGATGGCAGGGTTGAAGAGGAGGGTTTTGAGGTGGGACTTGAAGGAGACTAAGGAGGGGGCGAGGCAGGGTGATTGGGGGATGGAATTCCAGAGGTTGGGGGCAGAGTGGCTGAAGGCTCTCCCGCCAATGGTGGGGCGGGTGGGTCGGGGGACATGGAGCAGGCCAGAGCTGGTTGAGCGGAGGAAGCAGGCGGGTTGGTAGGGTGGGGCGAGGCCATGATGGGTTTTGTATTTGAGGACCAGTATCTTGAACTGGATCCTCTGAAGGATGGGGAGCCAGTGGAGTCGGGTGAGAGTGGGGGAGATGGGGTCACGGAGATTGGTGCAGGAGAGGACACGGGCTGCAGAGTTCTGGATTATGTCCCTGGATGATTCTTGCCTCATGAAACAGAGATTCACATTTTCAGCAAAAGAATACTAATTTCACTTGGGTTCAAATAATTCTTGTTTTGGAACATCTACATTTGCAAATTACAAGGCTGCTATAATTTGTGAATGGTAGATAATATATGAACCCAATAGGGTTTTATTTAACTTAAGGTTACTGTTCTCAGACTATAACGTGGCCATTTACCATTGGATGGACAGAACACTGCTTTTTATTTTCCTGTTGAATACACTCGGATGCATTTATAACCCTAAACTCCCAGTTGACAGAGCTGGCTTCAGGCACTTTTCTAGGCTACATTCCCTCAAGAAATTCACATCTGAAAACCAAGATTTTTATTGTACTTGGTGGAGGAATAATCGCCCGCATTTAATTATTCTGTGACCTGCACATAATTAAATGAAAATTAAAATCCTGTTCTGTCATCTAATTGCTCCATTTTTCTTGACTATTATGCACCTCCCCTTGTCAGTTTCCATCTTCTTAGCTCCAATTATTCCATTATTACTGCTCTTCATCACTTCAAAATTGTGGTTTGATTAGCAAAGTAGACAGAGGAGCAAGAGAAAAAAAACTGTAGATTATGATAAATGAGGCCAGTGAAGTTTCATTGCTCTTGTATTGGTCCTTAAGATTTCCTTTTTCCACCATTTCAACTGATTATTGATGAGTACAAACCAGATGACCGGCACTACAGATTTAATGTGAACATTTACACTGTTAATGTATATGTGTATATACAATGACGACCCAGCCATTTAAGGTTTTGTAGTGAAGCATCACTAGAAGTTGAACAGGTTTTACATTTGAAAGAGGAGAAAGACGTACATGTAAACCAGAATTATCTTTATTTAAAAAATTACAAATCAGTAGACAGTAGGTTTGTCTTTCCAAAATGACCAGCAAATGAATGAATCAAGAAATGATTTCATATTACAAAGTCACAGGTAGCCTAATTTTTTCCACTCCTTCACCTTGATTTTCAGTCAAAAATTTCAGACAGCACTAGTTTAGTTTTTTAATTTTTGCCCAGCATTTGTGAAAACATGTGCTTTTTTCCTTTTTGAATGAAAATACCTTGGTGCAATTGGTCAGCTGTATTTTTATTGGTGCAATGCACAAAAATGTTTAAAAAATTCCAGACTGTTATTCTGAATGTAGAAAACCCATGAGCTTTTGTTTTTTTAAAAAAAACGACTCATTTCAACAAAAAAAATTGCATTTCTTGAAGTTGACTATATAGTTAAATGTGCACCATTTAATACCTGTGTATCACATTTCAAGTTCTCAGAATATTCATCATGAATAGGTAAACAAAATTAGGGAAAACTGAAGAATGAAGGAAAGCCCCCCCCCATACAATATTCAGCACAGAGCATTTCTGCCTTTCACAATACAGATGGTAAAACACAAATAAACCTGCTAGATGCAGAAAAGAAAATGAGTATAATCCTTGACAGTTCAAGTTGTAATTAAAAGTAACATATTGCTTTTATTAAAGAAAATACATATAGCTAAATTTCAAAATCCATTTGTAATGAATGCTTTATTAACAGTATGGTTTGTAAAAGTCACTATGTTTCCATGCAGATTGGGGAATACTAAAAATATCTGAAGCCATTCTTCCATTCGCAAACAATGAAAGCCAGCTCACGAGAAAGATGACTTTCATGTTGATATTCCGGCTGACAAATAGAACAGCCCACTTCTGCAGGAGTTTCATTCATTCTTTCCCATTACATGATGCTCTGGAAACATCCGATTCCAGTTTGTTGCATAATTGGTGCGGCTCACAGAATTCTCAGTTTAATTATAATGGCAGTTCCTGGAGCTTTCAAGGCAGCAATGAAAACACAACTCCTTTAAACTGTTGGTCAGTTTCTTGTTAAATTATACAGTAAAGATATGCACCGTTGTCTACTGCCTTATTCTTATTGAAACACTGGTGTATTCAGCTACATGTGGGTACAGTAGGCAGTTAACTGAATGACTATGAAAGTACTCCAGTTTCAGATTATTTTTTACAGTGATTTATTTCTCTTAATAAAACTATCACAGCCGTTTTAATGCAGTTAAACTCAACATGTTATAGAAAGAACTGCCTCCAGAACATCACAACTGATTTTAGCAAATGTTCCATTTAAAGAAAATGTTCCATGAGTTTGTTTGATGAGGGCTGACATGTAAACATAGTAACCACAAAAGGGGACAAATTGAATTAGCTCTAAATAGCAAGGTGCTGTACAATGCATCTGTCATTGTTTAAGGCTCAATTTACTCCCCTTTAAAGACAATCTTTTAAAGGCATTTACTGATTTTAATACTGTAAAACATGTGCAATTAGGTTTTCAATAAATACAAATTTTCCAAGGAAATGAAAAAAATTAAAATTACAAATGAATTTTTGCATATTAACTTTTAAAAATGAAAGTATGAAGCTACTACAAAAAGGCTTGTTCGTAAAGCAGGGAATTGTTTGGGCTTAATGTTTCAAATGCAGAGCAAATGTGCTACAGCTTCACAATAAGGGTTTGTAGATATCCTCGAGCATTGACCCGATGTACTTTTCAAACAATGGCAATGTGCTGTAGAAGAGCACGACTGTACATTTCAGACACATTTTTCCAAGGCTCCTCTTTTACCTAAAGGGATGTAGGTTCTGAAGCAGCTTCTGTGCAAATTTTCACTGAGCTCATCCAACTGCAAAACAAAACATAGAATTTAGAACAAATCTGAACAGCTGATGTACTGGAAATAATTTCTTCAATTACAGGATCATCAATGATAGTGCATAACGAAGCTTGTACACAGGATTCAAATTGAACAACAGTGACCAGCAAAACACTGCAGACCAGATATTTGTTCTGAGTCAACAAGTCATTTCCGATCCAAATCAGAGGCTGATTTCGCACTAGTCAAAATATTAGCATGTGTTAGAAGCCAAATTGTAATTTACTGGTAATTATTTTATATGAAGTTCATAGCAGCTTCAAATCTGAACTCCAAACATCTCTTTGAATACTGAGAGCATTTTAAGGTTAAAAATGGATTTCCAAGTCATGAAAATACACAAGTTTTCTCTCTCCTTCAACCCAACAAAACCTTTCCTGAAATTCTGCCAAGCATTTTCAGATGTATAAAAGCAGCAGAATGTAAGGTTTGAAAGCCTGACAGATACTATTTCACTGGGTGCTCACCAGAACATAATCTAATTTGCATATTTAGGATCGTTAATCTTCTGGTTAAGAAAAGCAATCTTGCACATTAGAATTCCATTTACAACCATAATCTGAAAAGTGCCTAAACTCATTACAATGCACATACAGCTATTGCCTTTCCTCAGGCACATTTCTTCAAACAGAGCCTCATCCAGGAGATAGTCTGTGTGTAGAGAAAAATAAATGATGCAACACTAGAAATGTCTCAAACGACTAGAGAGGTAGCACTCGTAAATAATCCGCTTCTCTAGCAGGAATGTGTCAAGTTGGCATTTCTGAATATGCAATTCAGGCACAATTTGCCACACTGTTTTGCTGCCAGACAAATTTTTAACTGTGGTATGGTTAAAAATATCTATTGCAATGCCATCTTATCATTGACTGCAAATGGAAACAGTTAATATTCTACAAGTGTTCAGGGGGCTAATTTCCCTGTACCAAAGGACTTATTATTAATGGTATTATTATTATTATCCCTCGTCCCCTCTACTCCACCAGCGGCAGCTGTGCCTTCAGCCACTATGCCCCGAAACTATGGAACTCTCATTCCCAATCCCTTGGTCTTGCCTCCTCTTTCCCCATCTTCAGATCACAGCTGAAGACCTTCCTCTTCAACCATGTCTATGGTCACCTCCCCCTGGCTAAGTGTCATGAAGGGCGTTATATGAATGCAAGTTGTTGTTGGGTGTGTGAGGAAGGTTAATCTGTTCCTGGATTTCAACTGAAAGTCTTCGACACCATCACCAGTGCACTATATGGGTACAGAGGTACAATTGTTTTAAAAGAAATTCTGGAAATTCCATTTCTAACCTCATTCCCATGCCATAAAATAATCTAGTTGATAGTGCCTTCCAGTAAGGCTCATTCCCACTGGGGCAACAAGGATTTCCTCTATGAAAAACAAAGTTCAATATTTTAAGAGCACAACATCACATTCACTGTGTCTTAGCAAACAATTTTTTGACTTAAGTCTTCCTGTTGATTTCCTTTAGCATTCTGCAATAAGCTCCAACTCTCAATCAAAGCCCAATTTCTATGTAAAAGATCAATGTTCACTTAGCACATGCAAGATATCCACAACTGCAAATGTGCATAAACAAGGAATTTGGATATGAGATTGTTCTCCATTGTATAATCTAAAATATAGGAAAGTTCATTGCCCATCATGTAGATATCCAAAGCAAACAAGACAAAGTTGATTGTCTGCAGTTGGATTAAATGATGGAGTGTTCAAGTACAAAGGATTTTGCCACATGGTCTAATGCTGACCATCGTAAAGGCCAATTTTACACCAATTACTGAAAATACTTATTAAAATGCCAATCAACATTTTCAGAAAGAAGTGATGTTTCATCTAATGATTAGCTAAGTGGGTCACAAATGCTGATGTGTGCAGGACGGGAAAGGGCAATTTCTGAAAAATCATGATTTTTAAATTAAATCACCACCAACTTCACCGTGGTGAGCACTTTCCACTTAATGATAATAATGGTCCTTGCATTTGATGTGGGGTCTTATCATGTCTCAAAGTGCTTTTGCAGAATATAATGTAAAGTGTAGTGACTGTATTTTGTGGGCCAAACGCTGCAGGCACAGCAATCGTCTTACACTCTTATCTCACCCCTACTTCTGCAGAAATCCTTATTCACTGAGGGCACAGACTTGTCCAATGTTCCACAGCTTGAACAGATCCAAAATTCTGCAGCAGGGTTTGCTTTTGCACAAACACTGCACATATGATCCCCATCTTCCAACATTCCAGACCCTACATCTACTCCATTCTTTGGCCTCTAGATCCCCCACTCATTTCCTTCATTCCAATATTGGTGGCCATATCTTCAGCTAACATAACTGCAGAACTCTCTTCCAATACCATAGGTTACAGTAGATTAAATAATAGGATATGTAATGAATTAAGGAAGTTTTACCTTTTTTAAAAAAAATCACAGTAATCTAACATTATAATCACATCCAAATACCAAAGTCAGGTATCATGAGGAAGCAGAACTCAATTTGCTGTTATGGACTGAAGCAACAGCCATACAACAACAAGATTCCATCTATAAAGCGCCTTTCACGTCAGGAGGACGTCCCAAGGCGCTGCACAGTTGGGTCAGGACCCGAGCAGGGGGGAAATGGTCAGGGTGAGGGGAGGGAAGGGAGGGAGCGAGGAGGGGGAAGAGAGTCGAGAGGGGAGCTGAAGGCTCGGTCAAAGAAAGGTTTTGAGACCGGCCTTGGAGGAGAGGGAGGAAGCGAGGTGAAGGCACTGGGGGATGCAGTTCCAGAGCATGGGGGCTGAGAGGCTGAAGGCCCGACCACCGATGGTAGGGCGATCGGGGCGGGGGACGTGGAGCAGACCAGAGCCGGAGGAACGGAGGGTACGGGCAGGTAGGGGGATAGCAAGTCAGAGAGGTAGGAGGGAGCAAGGCCGTGGATGGCCTTATAGGTGAGGATGAGGATCTTGAAATCAATCCTCTGGGGGATGGGGAGCCAGTGGAGGCGAGCGAGGGTGGGAGTGATGTGGTCCCGAAGCCTGGTGCGGAACAGTACACGAGCTGCAGAGTTCTGAATAACCTGCAGCTTGTGGAGGGAGGTGGCGGGAAGGCCGGCGAGGAGAGAGTTCCCATAGTCCAGCCTTGAGGTGACAAAGGCGTGGACCAGGGTTTTAGCAGCGTGAGGGGTGAGGTAGGGCCGTAGTCTGGCGATGTTCCGGAGGTGATGGAAGGCGGTGCCAGTTGTGGTGCGGATGTGAGGGAGAAAGGACAGCTCAGGGTCGAACAAAACGCCGAGGTTCCTGACTGGCTTTGAGAGGTGGAGAGTGCAGCCTTGGATGCTGATGGTGTCGGCGCCTGAGGTGCGGAGGCGCTGACGTGAGCCAATCAGGAGGGCCTCGGTTTTTCGCACGTTGAGCTGAAGAAAGTTGTCTCTCGTCCAAGACTCGATGTCAGACAGGCAGGCTGTCAGGACATCGGTGGTCGTGGAGTTGAGAGTAGAGGAGGAAAGGTAGAGTTGGGTGTCATCCGCATACATGTGGAAGTTAACTCCATGTCTGCGGATGATGTCACCAAGGGGGAGCATGTAGAGGGTGAAGAGGAGGGGACCGAGGACAGAGCCCTGAGGGACACCACATGAGACAGTGCGGGGGGTGGAGGAGAAGCCATTTGTAGAGACAAAGTGAAGACGGTGAGAAAGGTACGACCTAAACCACTCAAGGACAGTGCCTTGAAGGTTGAGGTGGGAGGACAAGCGGTGGAGTAGGATAGCGTGGTCGACCGTATCGAATGCTGCCGATAGGTCGAGGAGGACGAGGAGGCAGAGGGAGCCCTGGTCACAGATGGTCAGGATATCATTGGTGACCTTGACCAGGGCAGTTTCTGTGCTATGGGCAGCACGGAAACCTGACTGAAGGGGTTCGAAAAGTGAATTGGTGGAAAGGAAAGAGCGCAGTTGGGAGGCGACAACTCTTTCCAGGACCTTGGAGAGAAGGGGAGGTTGGAGATGGGCCGGTAGCTTGATAGCTGCGACGCATCAAGGGAGGCTTTTTTCAGGGTGGGCGTGATGGTGGCAGTTTTTAAGGGAATGGGGACAGAGCCAGAGGAGAGGGACAGGTTGACGATGTCGGTGATATGTGGGGCAAGAAAGTGGAGCTGGGAGATAAGGAGTGGAGTGGGGATGGGGTCAAGGGAGCAGGTGGTTGGTTTCAGGGATAGGATGAGTTTGGTGACAGAGGGTGGGGAAACGGGTACAAAAGTGAGTAGGGGAGGATGGGTAGCAGTCGGAGTGTGGGAGTGAGGGGGTAGGGGGTTGGTACAGTAGGCAATGTGGAATTTGAACAGATTGCAACGTAATTTATGCAGAGTCAGAGTTAATTATTTTAACCCCATGACTCACCGGTGAAGTGAATATTTGGGACAAGCCAAACAGGAATGTGTGCCTAGATACAAACTCCCACAATACAAGTTACTTGTATGCTGTTGTTTTACTGCCGGGGCAGTATAGGAATGTGAAGCAGTAATCTTGCTTTATATTTATACTGTCTGCTCCACATTGCTTTCAAACATTAAATAAATTGTTCTTAAACTATTACAGAGCTCAGTATGATTTACACAATGGATTTGAAGTCAACAAAATTCACAATGGGAGAGCACAAGGGAAGAAAGGAAGGGCAAAACAACAAGTCAATGAGGAATAGCCCAATAACAAGCAACAAAATCTTATCAGGCCATCTCACTTCTGCAGAAAACCGTGTTCCATTGTTTTTAAAAAGGATGTCAACAATCTGTAGAGAAGCAGCTCAACACAACAGCAGCTACACTCTTGTTGCAACACATGGCTCTTTTTGCCATCTGATTTGGAAACAAAAAGGTGGTAGAAATAGAATAGTTTAAGATTGCCAAAAACTTAGAAGACACTGAATGTTTTATTCATCTCTTCCTCCACTAGTTGAATCTTGTCAGAATTTCTACCTCCTTCAGCATGTTA